TTATGTGAGCTCTATGAACTGCCACGCCCACAGCCCCACAGTTGCCCAAACTCCCACTTTGTAGACCCAATCGCAGACAATCTTTCTCTTGTAATTGCCGACATGTCAGCACATTAAACGGCTATAAAACTGGCAAATCAAAGGCAACTTGTCCGCATCAGCGGCGAACTTTTCTAATTTATGGCCATTTGTGTGTGGCAGAGAATGAAGGAAGAGAAGGGTGCGGGTTGCGGAGTACAGGATGCAACAGTTAAGCGCCAGTGGCCTTTGAACTTTCAGCCACCACAACCCCCTCCAACCAACCACATTTACATTTCACAACGAACACCGAGAGCCACCGCTCACCTTTCCACACCCACACCTGAGATATTCTCACCTGAGAAATGGTGGCGGCCAGGTCGTCCTTTGCTCCGGTTACGTGGTCCTGCGATTTATCATGACACTAATGAGCATGAAATAGGACAAGGTTTATTAAATTTTCCTTTTAAAATGTTCACATGCCAAGGCAGCAGGTGGAAAACGAGAAACTCAGGTTGGCTCAGTGCTGCCACAAGAAAGTTAACAAGTTGGAGTTTTTCAAAAAAAAAAAGAGTTAAATGATATATTATATGTCCTATAGAAGCATGATCATTAGAATTTCTAAAATTATATAAAACATTTCAATTTCTATGAGAATTTTTGGCCAAAAAAAACACTCTAGTTTTTATATCAACACAGCCACCGCATAAGAGGTGGCAACAAGTACTTTTTGCCGCAGCGAGGACATCAGTGGCGACATGAATGTGGCGCCAAGGCTTCTCCCACATTCAACCACCGTTCTTAAAGAGCTCCACCGAACCACCTAACCTCCTCATCCAAGCAGTTGCTGCCCGACGGGCAACAAAATGAAAAATGTCCGCAAGTGCGAAAATGAATCTGCCTCATGTTGCAATTTATTATGCCAACATAATAAATATTATATAAGGTTGTCAAATATCTCCCTTCCGCCTTTTTGTCTTTTGAATTTCGCGGCTATGTACAAAGCGCTACAGAGCTCGTATCTGGCAACACTATACATAATTTAAAAGGTCTTGACATAACCTACAAAACGACGCTATGCATGATTAGTTTGGATATTGCGTTCACCAGTTATAGACGTGTAAACATGGAGTTCACTAACGCCGAAATTCGCGCTATTTTAAAGTTTTCCTTCGTTAAAGGCAAATCCGCTAGAGAAACGTTCCGTGAGATTAATGGGGTTTTGGGGGATGGTACTCTATCACTTCGAACCGCGGAGGAATGGTTTCGACGATTCAGAGCCGGTGAAAACGACACCATGGATAAGCCAGCCGGCGGAAGACCTGTGACGACAAATACCGATCAAATCATGGAATACATCGAGTTAGACCGGCATGTGGCTTCTCGTGACATCGTCCAGGAGATGGGAGTTAGTCACCAAACCATTTTAAACCATCTGCAGAAGGCTGGATACAAAAAAAAGCTTGATGTTTGGGTGCCGCATGATTTGACGCAAAAAAACCTTGTGGACCGAATCAACGCCTGCGATATGCTGCGGAAACGGAACGAACTCGACCCATTCTTGAAGCGGATGGTGACTGGCGACGAAAAATGGATCACATACGACAATATCAAACGAAAACGGTCGTGGTCGAAGGCCGGTGAATCGTCCCAAACAGTGGCCAAGCCGGGATTGACGGCCAGGAAGGTTTTGCTGTGTGTTTGGTGGGATTGGAAGGGAATCATCCACTATGAGCTGCTCCCATATGGCCAGACGCTTAATTCTACCATCTACTGCGAACAATTGGACCGCTTGAAGCAGGCGATCGACCAGAAGCGTCCAGAATTGGCCAACAGGAAGGGTGTAGTGTTCCACCAGGACAACGCCAGACCACACACTTCGTTGATGACTCGTCAGAAGCTACGGGAGCTCGGATGGGAGGTTTTATCGCATCCACCATATAGCCCGGACATAGCGCCAAGTGATTACCACCTGTTCCTGTCCATGACGAACGCCCTTGGTGGTGTAAAGTTGAACTCAAAAGAGGCTTGTGAAAAGTGGCTGTCCGAGTTCTTCGCAAATAAGGAGGGGGGCTTCTACGAGGGAGGTATTATGAAGTTGCCGTCTAGATGGAAACGGATTATCGAACAAAACGGCGCATATTTCAACTAAATCGGATCACTGTAACACTTTTTATAAAGCATTGAATAAAGAGCAAAAAAGCGGAAGGGAGATATTTGACAACCTTATATACAGTTTGTGTGAGAAATTGAAGAAGAAGAACGTCGCTCTAGGGAGTCGTTTTTTTTTTTTTTGAAGGCGGTGGGTGGAACAAGAGAGTCCTTTGGGGTGTCACACAGTCTTTGGCTTTTTTTGGCCAGTCTGCCAGTGACAGTTGGAGAAATGCTTGGGGCGGGCGAACGATGGTCCTGCCCACTTCAGTTACTGTCCTTGCCTCCTAATTGTGGCCAAGAAAAATAAAGTTCCTGGCTCTGGCCAAATTGGGCAAAAAAGGAGGAGCAGGCGAAAGGATACGCAAACTAAAAATGTGCCAAGGCAGAAAACATGTGCGATATCATGTGATGCTAGAGGCAAGATACGAGTGTTGGGGCATGTTGCAATAACACAGGCTTTGGCCAAAAATATTGCAACACAGGACCACATATGCAGTCATAAATCAGGACTATTTCTAAATAGATAGTTGCAGATGAACTTAGAAATAGATTATGAGATTTTTATTCAAAATCGAAACAGATAGGACCAGAAAATAGGTAACATTGTAGGGAAGTAGGTGTGATGCTTCATTTCTTTTAAGGATCGAAAAACTATAATCGATATTTTCGATATATGTATGTATATATATAGAATGTATCCTTAATTGCTTATATTCCATATTTCTTAAGGAAAACATACTTGTTTTTAAATTATAAAAATAAAATTGTAAACACTTATATTTCCATTGCCGACATTTAAGGGCACCTGAAAGTCAAATAGGTATAAAAGGTAAAAATTTACCGTTTTTTTGAGTATGATAACATTCCAAAAGATGCTTTAATTTGGTAAGAATTTAATAAAAATAAAAAAAAATATTTTTTAAAAAATAGTGCCCTCCTCCTCGATTCTCATAGGTTGCACTTAAGCAGGGGCGAAAATTCGGAAAATTATTTATTTTTTTTATTTTTTTGTTAAATTTTTTTTTTTGTTGCTTTTTTGATAAGCTATAAACGGTATTTTCGATATACATACATATGTATTTATGTATATAGAATGTATCCTTAGTTCCTTATACCCTATATTTCTTAAGAAATCATGCTTGTTTTTCAATTATAAAAATAAAATTGTAAACACTCATTTTTCCATTGCCCACATTTAAGGGCTTCTGGAAGTCAAATAGTAATGAAAGGTAAAAATTTACCGTTTTTTTGTGTATGATAACATTCCAGAAGATGCTTTAATTCGGTGACAATTTAATAAAAATAAAAAAAAAATATTTTTTAAAAAATAGTGCCCTCCTCCTCGATTCTCATAGGTTGCACTTAAGCAGCCGCGAAAATTCGGAAAATTATTTATTTTTTTGATAAATATTTTTTTTTTTTGCTTTTTTTTCTTGTTATTGCAATTTTGTTGTTGTAATACTAGATACTAGAAGAAACTAGTATAATCTCTCTTAAATAAAGTTAATTAATATGATGAATTATAACCGATATTTGCAGTATCTTATCCGATAATACTTTAAAACATAAACCCAAACTCCCTGCAGCTACTAGGGCATATTTGGCCCTCTTTCTTTTGAAGTCTATAACAGTCTATTTATAACTCTTATTATTATTTTTCATTTAGCTAGATCTAGGTCTTGATATTTATAAAACTCAAACACCCACCATGACTGTCATGTTTTATGCCACAAAAAAATCTTTTCAGGGTTATTGCTCCAAATGATTTGGGTTTGTTGATCTTTCTATTGACGCCTACGCACAAGACTAGGGTCTTACGGTTTTTTTTGCTGAGATTCTTTGGTCGATTGTTGGGCGGGATGTGAAAATTTCGTCTGCACGCATTTTCTATAAATCATTCCGAGTTGTCAACACGAATTTGGCTGCTTGGGAGAGTTACTTGTTTGCTGCCGAAAAAGCGGAAATGTCCGAGGGGCAGGTGGCAGGTGTCAGGACGGAAAAAGTTGCTCCATGTCGCACACAATGAATGCCATGTGTGTGTGTGGGTAACAAAATACAGTCCGGACTCATGGTGCCCTGACACCGTACTCCGGATTTCCCATCTTGGTCTTTGGCTTTGCGGTTTGCAGCTCTGTTTGCTGTTTTGGTGTTATTTAAGCAAATTTATTTGCCGGCTGCCGCATTGCCAGGACCAAGGACCAAGGACAGCTCCCTGGTATAGCTACAGCTACTGCTATTTGCTTTTCATTTCCGGCCACGTCGACAAATCACAAAACAACCCGAAAAAGGATATTATCTGCAGCAAAACAGTTTGCCCCAAAGGATGGGGTTGCTGTTTCCCCTATTTGTCTAAATAATTTGCAAAACATTTCTCGTTTCGTCGCCCCAACAAACCTCCGATTGTGTTTAAAGATTCCCCAACTCCTAATGGTTCCCTAAGTGGGTCTTTCCCAGCCATTTTCTATATAGTATATAGTTGGTGACCTTTCATCTTGATCTTGGGCCGGTTGGGGGTCACTTCATTGGGAAATGAACCCAAATAGAGGCCCGAGTTGGTAACATTCACGTGTGCAAATAGAAAACCTCAAGTGAGTGGTTACACAGAGAGAAAAAAGGGGAAATTACTATAATAAAAGAAATCTATAACGACTTTGAAGAGGTCTAGAATAGGTCTTGAAAAACATCTTTTTAAAAAGGTTGGTATGTCTCCTCTTAACTCTATTTTAACCACAACTACACCCTTGGTTTTCTCTCAGTGTATTCCGATTCTTGCCTTATTTGGAATGCTAATTGCCTGTCCAAATGTTTGCGCCTTCAAAATTTCCACTTGTCATCCAATCTGGATGGCTCACTTAGTTCCGTCCGATTTCCAAACCAGTTAAGACCGTGACGCCTCCACCTGCTGTCAGTAGCGGAGAAAATGAAGTCATCACTGGATCTGGGCCTAGTCCTCCTCCTCCTGGCCTGCCTAGTCCTACCGTTGCAAAGCTCATCCCCAAGGAATCTCACTGCCTTCCTGGGACACCGACAGAAGCGCTGGCTGATCTACCAGAACAGCGGATCGATGAAGTTCAGCATCGGCCCCTCGCTGCCCATCCCCCTGGAGGACAAGGTGTCCTTCCGATCGTGTGTGCTGTCGTTCACCATTCAGGGCGGCACCTACAACCTGCCCACTTCGCCTATTTGGCCGTGGGACAAGTGGGAGGGCACCTTTGCCAGGTCCTTGACCCAAATGAGGAAGAACATCGAGAGGCACACAGCTGGCGGTGGAGTGCGGTACGCGGACGATGCCCGACTCGTGGTCTACACCGCTCTAGAAGACTACATTGGCAGGAGGAACAACGACCGGGACATGGGCAAGCAGTGCCTTCTCCGATCCATCTGCGAGAATGCTCAGATCCATCATCATGTTGGCGTGTTTTCCGAAATCATGGACATCGTCCTTAGGTGAGTAACATTTGGGAGGTGGCTTGGGCTTATTACCTAATCCTGGCATCTATTCCAGTCCCGGCAAAGCGGAGCTGGATGAGTCCTACCACGATGCCTACGCCGCCGGAAGGGCAGGAGCCGATTGCCTGAACCTGTACAGGACCTGTCCTCGGGGCTCCAACTTCCTAGACGAGCTCCTGATTGTTGAGGATGATTGATTTAGTGCTGTGGCTGTGCCTGCGGCTATGGCTGGTGGAGATCGGGGACCGCAATAAAGTTTTCAACCAAATCAAAGTGCATGTCTAATGGGTCCTGTCCTGATGTCGGAATCCGCTTGTTCTTGCTGCATAATTTGGGGCGGATATGCACGGAGGCATGACGTAGGGGCAGGAAACTGTGTGCTCAGACATGAGAATGTGTGCATATCGATGGAGGCTTGGAAGAGTAGTTTATGGGGGGGGTCGGAATATATATTTAAAAAAAAAAGAGAAAAGATATATTCAGTCTATAGAGCACTTTTAAGGTTAAACTATTCACAAGCTAAGTTCAAGTTTTTCAAGATTGTGATTTTATGGCGCATAAACTTTGGCAACCGCAGACATTAGTTACCTATTCTCCTCTTCATCACCATCACAAGTTCAAACACCGCAAAGTTGCACAGACCCCCTGCACACCCCCCCGTGTGCTATGCTAACTGCACTTTGCATGGTTCCATGCCCCAACCCAGCCCACGCCCCAGCCATTCTCTTTTCCGCAGCTTAGCTCCTTCCTTGTTCGCGTTGTCATAATCGCATTTGAATTAGCCCGGGCACACAAGACGCAGCTGAGGCAAGAACGAAGCTGAGGCAGTGGATGCAACAGGGTGACTATAACAGAACCAAAGGACCTTCATTAAAGGACCTTCTTTTAATAAATCCCTAAAAGTTTTCCTTAAAAAAAATACCAAAAAAAATACTAAAATAAAATACTTCCTTCAAGATCTAATTCCATTAGAGTACCCCTGTATTCAACTCTGTTTAAAGACTCCACCCCCTGGCCCCGCCTGGTTGCGTCTGCAAGCCTAATGTGCCACTTAAGACGCATTTATTGTCTTTCGTTGGTGTTGTTGTTGCTGCCACTGCTGCTGCAGCTGCATTTTCCATTTAATTGACGCCATTGTTGACAAAATGGCGGTCGTGTGTTGGCTTTCGCTACCCGCCAGCACCGCCATCCGCAGCCAAGTTGCATCAGCCACAAGCCATTAATGTTAACGGATTTTTCACGGGGCAACTGGAGGATGTTGCACACGGTCATGTTTCTGGTTTACCGAAGGGAGTTTGGCATTTGAGAAGGCGTGGCTGTGGCAAGAACACACACACATATCACTCGCAATTACCATTAAAAATTCAGATTCAGCTTGAGTTCTCCAGGATTGAGTGACAATGAATTGCAAATGATCTAAAATTGAGACAGATTTCAGGAAGGTTTCAACTGATTTAATGATATTTGGTTCAAATAGACATAATAAATCTATGATTTAAATTTAATCTCTTTATAAAGAAGCTTTGCCCGCAAAGCTGTAAGATATTCTAGTATTCCACATCCACAGTGTAGGCATCCAGAAGACTCTCTCCTTTGGGACAATCCGGGCCAAACTGGGCCAGGCAATCCACCCCGGCTCTTCCAACCTCCAGCGCCTCCTTATAAGCCACATCGATACTTCCTTTTCCAGGTCTATAAAATAGATATAAGAATATGGTCTCAGGATCTTAAATATTCAGAACTCACGTGAGTAGAATATTTAGTAGCTCCGCCATTATGCCATGATGACGATGCACCTGAGCATTCTCGCAGATCCCCCGCAGCAGACACTGACGTCCTTTGCCCACCGATCCACTGACTCGGTCCATATAATTCTCTAGGACGGCGTAGGCAAAGATGCGAGTGTCGTCTTCGTGGGATTCATCCAGTCCCTTGATCTTCTCCTGCAAAGATCGTGCGTAGATCGTCTCCCATTTGTCCCAGGGATACAAAGGAGCCGAGGGCAGGGTAAAGGCACCACAGTGAATCACATAGTAGTAGACCACGTTGCGCCACGAGACTGGATCCTCCAGTTGGGTGGCCATTACCGGACCAACCACCAACCTGATGGTTCCGCCATTCCTGTAGATGAGCTGATGCCTCTTGTGGCGGACGTGCAGGAAGCCCGTAAGATTCTGACCAACTGAAGGGCTCACAACGTCAAAAGCCGCTTCGACCAAAGGTAGGATGAGAATCAAAGCCAGCAATTGCATTGCGTCTTTATGGGGCACGGTACCTTTTGAGAATGAAGACCTGGCAGGTTAGTACCCATCCGAGATGCGATTCCATAAAGTATTTACTTTATCTATTAACATATCGAACAAATTGGGTTATAAAGACATCCAGAATACGTAAACGATACAACTCTTTTCGCTCTGCATAAGTAATTGGGTAAATAAACACATTCCATGTTGTGTTAAAGAGTGCTACTTACTGTTAAACATATAATATACAAAAAAAAACTAATTTAAAACTTTAATCATGAACTTCTTAAGTAATTTAAATAATTGTTTGTTTTGATAAAATGCACTATAATAAGAATTAACCAATTCATCAGTAAAAGTATTTATTACCTTTTTAAAATTTAGATTATCATTTTTATTGCAGTTTTATGAAGTAAAATTTATCAATTTTCGCCAACCCGATTTCAAAATTGGCTTTTGGCGGCACTTTTGACTATCGAAATCTATCGACCATCTCTAGCTGACACCTCAAGATCATATGACTTGGTCAGTGTTGGTAAATCAGCTACTGTTTTCCACTTTTTTTTGATTGCAAAATTTGTTTAAAATAAGGCTTGGTAAAATAAAAAGAGCTTTTAAATAAGAAAAGTAAATAATAATGAATTAATATATACTTTTAATAATCAAAATAAACCCCCAACTTCTGTAATATCTGGAAAAACAGCTAGATTTGTTGTTGAAAGGTGGTAACTCTACTGGTTGTAAACAAAAATAAACGAACAATAACCTGAGGAAAATCATAACACCTGCCCGCAGAGATGAACGCCGTGATTGCGCTCTGCCATTTTTGTGAGGCGCATGGCCCCTGCGCCATATTCTGTACCCAAACGCTGCGTGACACCAAGCTGGAGGACCTGCAACTGGAGCAGCAACAGTCCCAGAAGACCTGCTCCGCCTGTAACTACTCCATGGGTCGCAACAACAATGCCATATACAGCAAGGACGTAGAAAGTGGAGCCACATTTGTAAGCACAAAGGTGGCAGTACTGCCGGAGGTGGCCAACCTGGTCAAGCAGGCGGCCGTCCTCAGCTTGAGCAACGGCACAGATTCCAGCAAGGACGGCGAGTTTGTGTTCTTCGGAGACTCGTCCAGGGGTCACATTCTGAGTCACACGTTTCGGGTTGCCGACTCGCAGGCCCGAGGTTACTCCCAGCTCTTCTCGTTTATAGTCCTGATGAAGGACAAGTACTTCCTGCTCAACACCAAACCCTTTCTGGCGGAGCACCTGAAAAAGGTATCTTCCGAGCTGCAGGCGGCTGCCAAGAAGACCAAGGAAGCGGAGGATTCGATCTGCTCGGAACGACAGCGACGACTCTCGGGCGTGCAGTTCCCGATGCAGACCTCTCGCTCACTCCTGGAGCTCACCGGAGAGGAGCACATCTTCGCCCAACTGCACTCACACTTTGCCTGGCTCCTGCTCGCTGGCTCCCGCTTTCTCACAGAGCATGTGACCTTTGGAAATCTGCCCTGGCTTCCTCCGCAGAGCAGCGGGCGACCGCCAGCCCAACGGCTCACCTATAACAGCTCCACCCTGCCCATGATCGAGAGCCTCGACGACCCCGACCAGGAGGAGTTCTTCTCGCTGCGCCAGCTTAAAAGCGTGGTACGCAAAGAGGAGTTCGCCACGGTCTGCTATTGCGCCCTCACCGGCATCAAGATAGTGGTCAGAGGCGACCCGCGGCGCACCTTCCGATTCATGGTGTGCCTGAAGAAGCTGCTACCGGAGCCAATGCACAACCTGATGCGCATAGATGCCCAGCATCAGCACTCCATCTCGTCCGAGTATAAAATCATATCTGTATCCAACGATATTGCGGTTCCCATGGCTAGTGCTTCGGTCTTTCGAATAGATTTCTTGGACAAACATATCAATGGCCACGAAGTGACTGTCAAGTGGCCGGGGGAACTGCCCAGAAAATGTAATCTACCAAAATTCCATAACAGAATAGCTATTACAACTCCATTTCCACATTTTAGTGCCCGATCTCATGGTGAAACTTTTGAAGGCAGTGGAGGAGAAGAACTTCACCGAATTGGTGCTCAACAAGCAGACCAAAGTGCTCATCGAGGAATGGAAGAAGTGAGTATTCGCCAGAGAAATTGTTACGTCCATGAAGTTATCCACTTTCCTCAATTAGCAAAGTCACCTGCCTGAACCACGCCAAGTCCAGCAGCGTCCAGGGAAAGCTGAAGAAGGTGCTGGGTATCCAGCCACAGGACCAGTCTCTGATCAACTACTGGAGCACGCACTTGCACTAGTTATAGTTTTAAGAACATTCGTTTCACCTTTTGGAATAAAACTTCTTTATTGCCGAGTGGTGTGCGACGGCGACGTGACAAATCAAATCAATCTTAACCAAAAGTGTCCTATTTAGTTCCAATCTATCCGGCAGCAGCTGGATGCTTACTTCTTGTAGCCGCAGCTGGAGCGACGACCACGGGCACGCTCGAACTTGCGTCCCTTGGAGCGGACATAGGGGCGGGTGTGCGAGTGGGGCACACCAGGAGCCTTGCCGAAGTGCTTGCAGGCAGTGCGGGCGGTACGCTTGCCCTGCAGCAGCAGAGTGTTCTTGCCGGTTGGCGAACGGAGAGCCAACTGATCGAAGGTCAGGACCTCACCGCCAGCCTTCAGGATGCGCTCCCGAGCAGTCTGGGTGACGTGGAGGGCGCACAGGGTAAGCTTGGGCACCACCAACAGGCGGGCGTCATCGGTGACAGTGCCGACGACCACGACGGTGGACTCGGGCTGGTTGGCCGCCTTGAAGAAGCGGGCAATGCGCTGCAGCGATAGCGGAGGGCGGTTGATCTTGCTCATAAACAAACGCTTCAGGATGATGCGGTTGAACTTCTTGTTGGTACGGCGCTGCAGGAAGCGGTACAACTGCGAAAACGGAAAGAGATACAAAAATTACTCCCCCCGCCATTTAAAGTTTGCGAATATCGATCGATCTTACCTTAACAAGCAGGCGCAGGTACACATCCTGGGATTTGGGCTCGGTCCTGCGAACCTTGCGATCGTACTTGTGGTTGATATCAATACCCTGGAAACGAAACACAATAAGCATCTGTCATGTCGCCCACGGGAAACGCGCATTCCTCATTCCGCGAGACGCGAGACCCTTCACCCGTCCACTTCCGGATGTCAGAATACTTACCATTTTAATGTGTGGCGATATCCGCGTTCAATGCTACGTCGAATCTAGGGTAAATAAGTATTTTATTTACAAAAATAAGCCTAAAATCATCCAAATTCGAGATAAAGCCACGTGGGGCGTACGTACCTTGCCGAAACGAGAGGTTAAAAAGAAAGAGACCAGGGGGCGAGCTGCAAAAAACGGCAGCGCTTTTAGTATTTTTCAATTCGGTATTTTTACAAGTTAGTATTATTGTGGCTATTTTGTTTAGTGAGGCTGTATATTTTTAGCTAAACTTAATTAATCGCTTAAAATGATTGAGCTTTGACTAAAAATGTTAGTTTTTGCTTTTAGTAGGTAAATTTAATACAAATTGGGTGTAAGAAATTAAGAAGCATCCATAACATTTTCAAAACTTTTGTATAATTTATAGAAGGGATTCGAATGTTTTTTGAGGTTTTTGATGAAGATTTATTGGAAAAAGATCTACATATCGTCTACGGTATTACGCTTAAGAATCGGATGAATATTGAGAAAGTTATGAACATATTATGGGCCCATATTGTGAACCCATGATTTTTCGGAACTTTTTAAGGGAAACATTTAAGGGAAACATTTAAACTTTTTAAGGGACCCATTAGAAACATTTACAAAAAATATGTTTGAAAATTTATTTAATGATTTTGATGCAGTTTTATGGAGAATTGATCCACAAACCGTTTAAGGTATTCCGCTTAAGAATCGGACGAATATTGACAAAGATATGGCTATCGTATGGGGCCATATTGTAAACCCATGCATTTTCGGAATTTTTGAAGGATTGACCCATCAGAAAAATTGACTAAAAATCGATTTAAAAATTTGTGTTGGGATTTTGATGCAGTTTTATGGAGAATTGATCCACAATTCGTTTAAGGTATTCCGCTCAAGAATCGGATGAATATTGACAAAGATATGGCTATCGTATGGGGCCATATTGTGAACCCATGCATTTTCGGAATTTTTAAAGGGGAACCATCAGAAAAATTGACAAAAAATCGATTTGAAAATTTGTTTTGGGATTTTGATGCAGTTTTATGGAGAATTGATCCACAATTCGTTTAAGGTATTCCGCTCAAGAATCGGATGAATATTGACAAAGATATGGCTATCGTATGGGGCCATATTGTGAACCCATGCATTTTCGGAATTTTTAAAGGGGAACCATCAGAAAAATTGACAAAAAATCGATTTGAAAATTTGTTTTGGGATTTTGATGCAGTTTTATGGAGAATTGATCCACAAATCGTTTAACGTATTCCGCTTTAGGATCGGATGAATATTGACAAAGATATGACCATCGTATGGGGCCATATTGTGAACCCATGCATTTTCGGAATTTTTGAAGGGGAATCATCAGAAAAATTGACAAAAAATCGATTTGAAAATTTGTTTTGGGATTTTGATGCAGTTTTATGGAGAATTGATCCACAATTCGTTTAAGGTATTCCGCTCAAGAATCGGATGAATATTGACAAAGATATGGCTATCGTATGGGGCCATATTGTGAACCCATGCATTTTCGGAATTTTTAAAGGGGAACCATCAGAAAAATTGACAAAAAATCGATTTGAAAATTTGTTTTGGGATTTTGATGCAGTTTTATGGAGAATTGATCCACAAATCGTTTAAGGTATTCCGCTTTAGAATCGGATGAATTCCGCCAAAGATATAGCTATGGAGTATGGTCCTACATATAAAATACTGATAACATAGACGGAATAATGGTAACAGCTTCTGTAAACAGTCTGTTAGAAAAAAATTTAAGTATTTCCAGTACTTTTATTTGGGATTAGAATTTTGGGGAATATTAATGAAGAATTATATTGATAACAATTTGAGAAATGAAAGGTTAGAGTTAAATAGTTTAACATAAGCAGTTTTAAACTTGATAAAAACAAAAACTTAAATAAATAAATGTTTGCAATTAGGTGTTTTATTGTTATTTATTTAAAAGGAGTGAGTTTTTGTTTCCATTTTTAAAATAATGCTTATCCTGATCAATCATAGTTAATGCTAATGGCTATATAGCGTTCCCGGTTCCCAAACCGGTTGAATTAATCGATTTTTGCATCGATTTTTGCATCGATATTTGCCCAACTCGTCTGGCCACACTAAAGAGACAAAACAAAAACCACAACGCTGGCCTGGGCACACTAACTTGAAATTCTGATTGGAAACGGTGTGTCGAAGCTGCGTCGGCTCGCGTTGGGAATTCGATTCGTCTCTTCTTTGATTTTCCCCAGTGCACTGCGCAAACCGGAACTCGCTGCCATTGAATTGTGAATTTATCGTTAACGCTTGCTGCATTTGTGCAATGCAAAGGCGATAAAACGCCGCGACAAGTCGCTGTTCGGTGCTAAGTACGTAAAAATCACAGTCCTGCCGAAACGGAACGGGGAAAAAGCGAGTGGCAGATTTTTTCTGTCTACCCACACAAACACACACACGTATACAGAAGCGGCCGTTTGCGTGAGTGTGTTGTTTGTGTGTGTATCGGAGCGCCGGAAAATAAAATAGAAATAAGAGTATTAATTGTGTACTGAGTGAAAAATAATCAAAATCAGAAGTGAAGCCAAAAGTTTAATCTTAAAAAAGATATTCGAAAAGTGTTTGAAAATTTCAAAAAAAAGAGCCGCGCCCACACACACACACACCGCTCAGCAGCTCGCACAATAACACACACACACACGCATAGAAACGCTCAAAGCGGCAGCGGAGAGAGAGGAAGAAGCAAAAAAAAAAAAGAGAAAAGTTGTGTGGCAGCAACAAATAGTTTGTTAATTGCACGGGTTTTCAGCTTTTATTTCAAAATTAATTTGTCGCAAAAAAAAATAAATAAATTCGGAATTAAATTATATACTGCCCCCCCCTCTCTGGGCTGGCCTCTCTGTTAGTGTGTGTGTGTTGTGGGGTTATTTCGCTGACTTTGCCGTATATGTGTGTGATTTTTTTTATAATTTTTCACACTCTCCTCTCTTGGAGCAGCAGCAGCAGCTCCAATCTCCAGATCCAGAAGAACAACACAAACAACAAATAACAACAAAATAAAATGGCGCACCAGCAGCAACAACAACTGGCTCCATCGGTCAACTGTTCACTGGACGATATCGATCTGACGGCCCTAAAAGTAAGTCTATCCGGGATATCGGATGGGAGAAACCCCCTAAAAATAATCGGAATTATATTTGAGGTGTTTATTATCACCCAGTTATAGAAAGGGGTGGTGGGGGGAGTCACTGCCCCCGATTCTAATGATACTCCAAGGTGCGGTCTTATAGAGTTGCTGTATAAACAAAAAAAAATTAAGTTTATTTTTAGGAATTTAAAAATAAAAAAGGGTTTTCGTTTTTTATTTAAAAGTGGGAGGTTTTTTTAATGACTAATCTTACTAGCTTTGATTAATAACCCCATTGAGATATTTTTATTTTTAAAACCATAATGATCGCCTTTGTCAACCCTTATTCCACACCAACCGATTTAAATTGGCCCATACACTTGAGAGGGCAACCCTTCAGGGACTCTTCTTCTCCCTCCCCCTCCCACACACATTTATGCAAATTTTGCTTAAAAGTACAACAAAAGGGAAACTTTTTATTGTGTGTGTGGGTGGGTGTGTGTGTGCTGGTTTCGCACACTCCTGCCATGGCAACCAAAGAAAGGTTTTTGCACCATTAGCACCCCCCCTTACCCTCACTCCCCCTCTGGAAATCACAATAATAATCGAGTTGGTAAATGCACATTGGCATTTCGATTTCATTGCCTCCGATCGACCTCCCACCACCCTCTTAAAAGCCAACCACCACCCTTCATTAAACCCCCCACCACCACCCCGAATTTCTGCGCAACTTTTGACCGGCCGGTGTCATCTTCTTCGCTATTTTTTGTTTCTTTGCTTTGCGTTTCGTTTCTCAATGAATTTGTTGAGTCGACCACCCCCCCTCCCCTCTTGTGCTCCCACCCCCCCTGAGCACCGCACGCACTGCCAACTTGTGTGCCGCATGCGTTTGTTGCCTTTCTCTTTCACCAAAAACACTCACCACTTTCGGGCCCCAAACTCACCACACTGCCCCACGTTGGGCGCCGAAAGTAAACTTTTCTCATGTATGTGTGTCTGTGTGAGTGTCCGTTTGTTGACTCTGCCCCAGAAGGGGGGTGAGGAGGATGGGATGGGTGGTGCCGGGTGCTTGGGTCGTCGCCTTGCCGCTCCAGGCCCTGTACACAGTTGCGGTCAGAATAATAGTCCATGACTATCTCTCAGATATTGTATCTTTTGGCAAGTGGAAGGCTACTCTATTTGGGGGCACCACTGTTCCACGAAGACGAGACAAGAATGAAAATTGTTTAGTTTACTTTATTAAAAGGCAGCAGACAAGAAGCAACATGCGTGCCACGGAATGGCATTTAAATATGTATGCAACTGTGTATGTGTGTCTGGATATGTGTGTGTTGCACCAGACAGCTTGAAGATGATGATAATGATGATTAAGATGATGAACTGAAGGAAAAATAAACGCAAAGCAAAATCAGCAAAAATGGCAGGCTGGCAGAAGCATGAGAGAACATGAATTGTGTTTCTTGTTTGGCCTTCTCCTTTTGTGGGAGGAGGAGGAGGAGTGGGCGTGGGCTTGGGATGCCCCCGTCGGCATGTCTGGTGTATCTTTTGACCTGTCTGTGCGTGGCTTTTAAAGGTCATTCAACACAAAAGCCAGAGATGTGGAATGTGTCCCGAAATAGAAAACCTCGAAAGGTCAGAGTCCTTAAAGCTTCCACTCTGGACTCTTCTGTGGCTTCCGTTCTCCACCAAATAACGGAGATAGGGGGCCTCTGGTTCGATAAGATACCGCTAAACTGCATTCATCAGTCAACGAAGTTTTGTTAATTATTTTTATGAGAACCCCCTCTCCTCTCCCCCTTTTAATGCAGTTTCTTTTATTCTCTTCTCCGATAAGAATTCAAACAGTGTTCTGGTTCTGGTTTTTGTTTCCTTTGTGTTGCTCACTACACTGAAAGAAATCTCCCCCCCTCTGTAGTGTAGTGTCTGTTTATTTTAATCAACTTTTATTGCATTTCGTTGGCTGGCTGAGCGATAAAAAAACGTGTTCGCCCACATTTGTTTGGAAAATAAAGTGTGTGTGTGTTTGTGTGTATCTGTGTGACCTGCAATTTGCTTCAAGAAGTTGAACAAAGCCACACATGCCAGGGGTTTTTTTTGGGAAAATACTTTTTATAGATATTCCAAAGGATCGGGTAAAGTTTCCCCGGGGATTCCCCAGGGTATCGTTAGGTTTGCCATATGGAAATGGTATATATTTGTTTTTCCAGTGCATTTTCCAGTTGCATTTGCATGGGCGTCCTAATATGCAGTCAGTCCTGTTTTTAGCCACTCTCTAGCTGCTAACTGGGCCAAGCCTTTTCGTTAAGGGGGGGCCTAAAGAGTAGGGGGGTCTAGCTCGTTAAACAAACAAAACGAAAAAAAAAAAGAAAATTCCAGTTTGCCGGGACAGGTAAACTGTAATAATGAAGACACTAGTCAGAGACTAGAGATAGTCTATTTAGTAGAGGGGTCTAAAAAGTTAGTTTATAAATCAAAAATTAAAGAAATATTTAAATTATTAAAATATTAAGCCAATAAGCTAAAATATCTGGCATTTAAGTCTTAGATTTAATATTTTATATGAGTTCTGTTTAGGCACTCTTCACTGTACTGTTGGCTCTTTCGGCCTCCAACGGATTGTTTAGTTTTAGTTTTAGTTGTGTACCCCTTTTTGGATAAAAACAAAAACAAACAAAAGGCAACCAAAAGGGGGGTACTGGGTGGGGGGGCATGTGGCATGGCGGCACCTGGACAGCTTCCAAAGAAACCGGCAGGAATGAGCAACAAGCCTGTTTGGCTTGCCAGCCAGCCACTGTTGTTAACAGATAACTGTAACCAAAAGATGCACCGAGAAAAGTTTTGGAAAAATATTTATTTAAATATTAAATAATAATTTAAAAAAAAATGCTACAAATTAAAAGTTATAATCTGGGTACTAGTTTATTTTATTTTATGAGCCATAACTAGCCTTTTTTTCTAAAAGCTACCTGCACTTTGTTTTGACCTAAGTACCTCACCCCTAATGAGTCATAAAGCAAAAGATACTTTTGAATCCATCAGATACTTTTCTTCCCCCCTCGCTTTGTCTCATTCGGAAGTTGATTTTCGTGAATTTTTAATTGATTTCCACAACGTGAAGTAATCAGCCATAAATAGCAGTAATTGCCGACACACTCCTCCCCCGCTGGCACCCGTCCCCCATTTTTTTTGTCTTTGCCTCTCCCTTCCTTTATCAGTGTATGCTCTTTGCATGTGTTTGACACACTTTTTTCGGTAAACGAACGAAAAGGGAGGGGGTGGTGGGGGCGGGCAGCCATAAATCTACTTAGAGCGGCTTCCATAGTTCTCCAGTTTCCCCAGAACCCCAGCCCCCCTCCCCCAGGGCCTAGATCCCCGAGTATAAAAAATGTTTTACCCCCCCACCTCCCCTATTTGTTTATTTGCCCTGCACTTTTTCGTGTTTTTTTTTTATTTCTTCCTTTTTTTGCTTTTATTTTTTGTTTTTCGGTTGTTGACGCTTTGTCTTTTGGTCTCTAATTCCTTTTGGCTGCCAGAAGCTTAAGGAGCACCACCACCCTCCACCACAACCACCCTCGGGGGACTAGTGACTGCAGTCGAGGAGGGCTTTCCTGGGCATGGGTTTCCTTCTGTTTGGCGGGGGGGATTAAAGTCTAATAAAGTTGACAAGCTAGGCTGCTCTATAAATCATGCATTCCCGGATAGGCCAAGATGTCTTTGGATATCAACCGATCATCCCTAGTGGTAGCTGCGACTTAAGGCCTTCAATCGACTTTACTTTCAACTAAACGGCTTAACTTGTTCTGGAATTTGGAGCAGTACCTTCTCTAGACTAGGTTCTTCATGCACTAACAGAAATGATAGAAGTTCTTCATGGAACGTGATTGATTTCCACAATTTTTATTAAAATAAGAAGCTTCATAACGAGATGAAGCACTGGTGACGAACGCAATATGAGAAATGATACATTGTTTTTCTTACTTTTACAATAGTGCTATCAACTATACATAAAATATGATTAGTTACAGACGTACTTTAGAAAATAATAAACCTTTAAACAAGTTTCTTCTTGCTTTTTGCGGTGACGAAAGCAACGTCTAAATTACATATTTTTCTTTCCAAACATGCCTGGTTTTTCTTACACTAACACAAGTTTTATCAATTTTACATAGAGTATTCGATTAGTATCTGCAGTACTCAATGAAATAATAAACCTTATGACGAGAGGTAAAATACCTGTGCCGAAGGCAACCTCCAAAATTCATACGTTGCAAAAAATTATAAGTACTTTATATTTTTACAAAAGAAGGCTAAAAATTATACGTAGATTTCCTGCTTTAATTCTTGGGAGAATAAGTCTCTTGAGGGAGAAAAAGTATCGGTGACGAGATAAATGTCTGAAAAATGTTGTATTTTGTAACTTTGATGACGAAAAAATGGATTATTTCTTGCAAATTATAGTTCTTATTCTTAGATCTTAAATGAATATGATTAAAATGACTATAATACAAAGTACCAGTAATGAAGGCAACCCGAAAAATATCTTCGAAAAGGTTATTAATTAGGAAATATGATTAAGTACCGATATATGTATATGTATGTATATCTGGTTCAATACAACATTGCGTGACTAGCTCCCAACTAGAAATAACTCACTTAGTGTTGGCTATTTAATCGATATTTATTGAAAGGTATTTCTCCACCTGTAACCTGTAACCCCCTCCCCTCCCCCCTACCAGTCATAAGTAAGCCCCAATCCCGGTTGTCAAAAAAAGTCAGTTACCTGTTGGAATTCCGTTGTTTTTGTTGTTATTTTAATTGGCATTTGCCTTACCTGTCGTTCTGGTCGTACTGGTCTCGTCACCGTCCGTAATCCCAATTCCGATTCCCAATTCCCTGAACTCCCCCGCTTACCCTTCCTCTCCCTCTCCTTCACCTGGGCTCCAATAAAAATAGAAAGCATTGTGTTGTGTGGCGTGTCACGACGTGTCACGAGTGGCGTGTCAATGAACTCTCTCTCTCTCTTGCATGCAATTTGTATGGCTTATGGGCTTGGGGTAAGGGGGGATATCGAGAATCTGAATCGGAATTTTCGGAAATTGAGGATTTTTATTTTTAGAGACGCTTGTCTCGACTTATTTGTAAGGGTTAACATGCCTTGATAAACAAAACAAAGGTATGGTCTGGGGAGTGGTTGGGGTTAAAGGTCGTTTCAAGTGGTAACCTCTTAGGGGTTGAACTCTGATTTTCCTTCAAAACTAACTCTGTTTGTTTTCTCTTTCCAGGATCCAGCTGGCATCTTTGAACTCATCGAAGTGGTGGGCAATGGCACCTATGGTCAGGTCTACAAGGTAAGAAGAGGGGTCTAGATCTCTCTGGAGACCTCCGAGAGCAATGATCTCAGTTCTGGGGCTACTGAGAGTCACTTGGTGGTATTATAATTAGGAATCATTAGACTTGATGCTTGACTGCGTTTCACTTAACTTTAACGCCCAAAAATATAAAAGAAAAGATAACTAGCTGAGTTGTTCTAACCGCTTTAATTAGTTTGTATCCGCTAGGTTGTCTAATAACTTTCAGAACCGAGATCCGAGATAGTCTTCTTCTCACACATTAACACATATTTCTGAAGAAAGAAATACAGGAACCAGAACACCATCATCATCATCATAATCTGGCTCTTCTCTGAAAAAAACAAAAAAAAAACAAAACAATGCCTTGACTTTGTGTGTTTGTATTTAAATTATAAGTTTCAAATGTATCTGCAAGATACAACCAACTATGCAGCGGCTGAGCGGCAGGGGCATTACAAAAATAGACATTGCTTTTGTAAATTACCGTTAGCTGTTGGAAGTGTGGCATGCGCCGCTTGGGAGGCCAACGCTGCTGCTGCTGCTGCGGCTGCTGCTTGCATCTTGCAGATACACTTTGTGGGGGTCGCCGACGCTGGCAGCTTTTGAGATAAATGCCATGAAAGTCTGACTAGAAGAACCTGTAATTATAAGTCACCTGGGATTAGGTATGGAAATGACTAATCATAACTGGGAATACGAGAAGGCCTTCAGTAGGCCTTACTACTCTCTTGAGATACTTTTCCCAAAAAAATAAAGATACTTTTCTCAGTGCAACAACTGCTCAGTTAGCACTAGAATGTCCAAGTATCTCTCCGCAAAATTAGCATGACTAATGCCTAGATACTGAAATGTATCTGTATCTGTATCTAGTACTCGAAGTAACGGCTGCCTGAGTCCATCCACTTGCTCGGCTGTGTCTCATTCCGTTGGCATGTATCTCAGGCTGTGGTTTCCAGCCGACTTGCCTGATTGACTGACTAACTGAGTGACCGGCCAACCGGTTTGGATATTGAGGCACTTTAGAGGCACTCTCTTTTTTTTTTTGGCCTAAACAGCTTATCAAACGTCACAGTTGTTGACCAAATTTTGCAATTTTTGGGCTTAATCATAATTTCAGTTTGGTTGTGTTTATTTTTCTCGATTTTTTTCTTTTTTGGATCTTTAAGATACATTTCTGGGAATAATTTTCGCTTCTAAGCTTCTTTTGATTTATGGCTTGTTTTGTTTAGGGAACTTCCGTTTTATTGATAACTTGAGGGGTTTTTTTTTTCTGCTATCGGGCTTTAAAGAGCCAGTAGTGAGTCAGACTTGGACTGCCAGAGGGACTGCAACCACATGTGCTTCCAGAGAACACGTACAAGTGCAGCACATGTGTAGTGATTTTCAGAGTAAGGGGCAGTCTGACTCTAAACGTGGTCAACTGGAAATTGTAGCTAAAGGTCTGTAAACTTGCAGAAAAGTGTATTATAAACAAATATTAAAGCTTTCCTATAAATGGTCTTTGTTATTCTGAAATCCACACCAATCTGAAGACTTTATTCGATGATATGAGTACTTAGGCCGAACCACCATGTTATTTTTGGGGCTTGGCTGCCGTTAGTGGCTTTTCCGCCCACACACACACACACTCAGACACAGACACTAACATCCCACAGTTGTCGTATAATTAACATTTCTCATATAGCTGGGCGAACTTTGACCCAATTACCGGGCCGGGCTATAGTTATGACTTTAAGACCGAGAAGGAGCTGGAATTGGAGGTGGAGTCTAGTTGGAGACAGACAAGTGCAGACAGAAAGACACTATATACATATTTATGAGCGAGACATGATAATAAAGCACGCAACCACGCCAGCACAGCAACCATGTCTGGATGGCTGTCTGTATGCGCAGGCGCAGCCAGGCAGAAAAAAATAAAGCAGAAGAAACAGCAAATGCAGCGCTCGATTAAATAAAATACAAAAAAAAAAACAAATCCGACAAGCAAAACATGCAAAATACATTAAAGCCAATAAACAAATCAAGCAGGAAGCTAAAAATAAAGAAATACATACGAAAAAAACTTAAATAGAGAACCCAAATGACTTTAGAGTTCATAAAAAAAAAGGCAACAGCAATTAGTACACAAGAGTAGTAGCCCCAAAAAGCATAAAAGGCTCTCTCAATGTCATAGCACCGAAAACAAATCTAATTGTTACGCAAATTGTATTTGTTTGGCAGACTCGAAGAAACCTCTAGCAGAAACACAAGTCATTGACACGCTCAGCAATTGTGGAGAGAATGCACTGGGAGAAAGATTGGGAGCTAAAAGAGGGTGTGCTTTTAAAAAAAGCAATGAAGGGTCTTTAAAAAATGTTGTGAACTAAGCTTGAAATTGTAGGTATTGGAAATCTATAATCTAAATATGAAAAATATGGAGGAATATAGCTTTGTTTTATGAATATGAGCAATATAGAATGTTTGCTTTTTCAAAAAGCAAAGCAGAGTCTTTAAAAAACAAATAGATTTTGTGTTATGTTGAGAACTAAGCTTGAAATTATAATAAATGGTATTATTATCTAAAATATATCGAAAAGAGAGTGATATGAGATACCCGGTAGAGCTATACGAATGTTTGCTTTTCAAAAAAGCAAAGCAGAGTCTTTAAAAAGTGGCTGAAAATTGCTTTATGTTGTTAAAGCTAGCTTAAAACAATAATTGTTAAATATTGGTGCTGAAATGTATCAAAAGGAGAGGGCTATAAGATACCCGGTACTTTTTTCGTCACTTTATTGCTTTCTTTTTAAAAAATCATAAGAATAGCAAGAGAAAAGCATACTCTTTACTAAGCTTAAAATAAATTAAATTAAATGGTACCTATTATTAAAAATATATATATAATAAACTAGTTGCTATATAATACCTGGTACTTTTTTTGTCACCTTCTTGTATGCTTTTGAAAAATGAATAAAATAAAAAGCATAAAACATACTCATAACTTTTCTTGAAATATATTTTATTGATGGAAAATTTTTTTAATATTTTTAAAAGTCAAAAGCAAAAAAGCATATAGCAAATTTTTTCTATATTATAAGTACTTTTTTCGTGTGCTTTTCAAGAAAGCATAAACTAAAAGCATATAAAATGAATCAAAAAGCATACTCTACCAGACTCTAAGCAAACTCTCTACCATACATTTCTCAACCTTTTTCTTGCAGTGTAGTTCACTCTCCTTTCTCTTTCCCTATTTTGCAAATTTTATGGCTCTTTCGCGGCCAATTCCCTGCATTTTTTTTTTCAGCGCCATTTCTACTCGAGCATATTGTATTTTTAGAGGTTCACTAACTTAGTGGTTGCTCTGTTTTTAGTTTTTCGGATTTCAGTTTTTCGGTTTTCAGTTTTCTGGCTTTCTGCTTCGCTTTGTTCGCTTAATTAAATCTCTAGCCCTGACACTTTTTTCATTGACAAGGCAACCTGTGTGTCTGTGTTTAGGCCACTTCTGGCTCTTTTGGCCAAAACAATAAATGGGATTTTTTGGGTTTACGTTTTCTGGTGTTTTTTCGCAAAAAAAAAAAAAAAATATTATTTTTTTGCTAGACCAGCAATCCGCGATGGGAAAGTCATCGAATCGAGTGGAGAGAGGTTTTGGGGAAGGTATTACTATATAGTGCCTTCATACGTGTGTGTGTGGGGGGGGCAACCAGTAACGACCTTGGGAAGCGATGAGTTGCCTCTTCTTGTATTTTTTCGAAGCTGCTAAGTTATGCATTTTTTTTATTATCTGACCGAGTGTGGGTTGCGGTTTGCTTTTGTTTTTTCGAAATAAATTAAATATTCATGCTGGAAGTTGGAAAAAAAAAACAAAAAATTTATCACTTTCGAAGACGGCGTGTGAAATTTTTGTGGTTGGTTTGATATTCCAAGAAAACTAGACTCTTGGAAGCTTAGATTCTATTAAATATTTTATCTTGAAGAGCCAATGATTCATTCAATAAACTGACAGACAATTGACCCACTTCTCCCCCTACTTTCAGCTCACTTTCAGCCCACATATCACCCAAATGAGATAACTCTCTTTATCTCCATATATATATATATATATATCCCTGATTCAGCAATTGCGATAAGTTTTGAATGGCAGTTGTTTCGGTTACAAGGTTAACTTGGCCAATAACAAAATAAATATATATAAATATTCAAACATTACTCAGAGTTGGCTATATGGCTTTATGATGGTATTTCACATGAAATCCTAGTCGAACAATTAATTTATGAGTGAAAGTTTTGTTATTTTGCATAATTGCATCCATAATTATGGCCAATGAAAGGCCTTTGTTTGAAAGTCAAAGGGAATTGAACTTCAATAGCCGCCCTTATCTTCAGTTTTTCCTTTTTTATTGTCCGAGAAGGGTTACCCGTTGACCCGCAGACTTAATTTATTTAATTTCCAATTACCACAATGGACACTTACTCGGGGACTCTCTCTCTCAATTAATTAGAATTTCAAAGAAAAACATATATACACACCCTCCATGTGGGAAAAGGAAACCGGAACTTAAGTGACGTCATTATCATTATATAGCTATATAGCTAAATATTCCCCCTCTATGATTTCAACACAATTTGGGTTATCTTTTCGCAAAAAAACCCTCCAGGGGCTGTCAACAATGGAAATAGATTCAATGACTCAATTTTCAAGGTAGGCGCCTTGCTGATAAGGTCCATCATGAGGTCGGGACGGGACTTTTATAAATCCAATGAATAACCCATAATTGTGATGGACGAAGGTGAGGTATTCGGAGGGCAGTATAGGTAACTAAATAGTCCACCCAAGAATATAGTATACTACCAAATATATATATACTTGCTTTACTATATATACTGACATTATTTTATGATTTATTCTCAGGTAACTTTGTCTAGACAGCTGATCAATTTTTGAGGCACTCTAACTGGCACATCAAACAACAAACTTTACCTAACTGGGTTAACCAGTCAACCAACCTGCCTCCTTGTTGCAAGCACTTTGAACTCCGATGGGGGGGGGGGTTAACACCTCCACTTCAGACTCAGACTGAGACTCCTTCCTGCCTGTTGGGAAAATTCAATTTAATTCAAATTTGCAGCCAAGTGCTAAAAAGCCAGTCAAGTGGTTCGGAGTAGGGCAATGTAACCTTTGACCCCCACCACCACCACCTAAAAATGTGAAATAAATTTAAACCAACAATTTCAAGCACTATTTCGCCTTCAATGGCTGTTTTTATGAGCCAGCTGGCAGTACTCTACAGTCAACTACAGGTGGCTCTGGCTACAGTGAACTGCCTATTCTGTATAATAAAGTGTAGTTAGTCTCTAACCAATCCCCACTGTAGAAGAGGGCTTTGATTATCCGGTTTAATTAAAGAAACTAACAACAATTGGTAATTGATGAGTGACTACCTGCCCCCAGCTCCTCCTCCTCGCTGCTCCTCTAGTCACCTCCTAATCACCTTCTCCAAATGGAGTCTACCATGTTGCATAAGTTGGCCAAAACGCAGCACCACCAGCAGCTGTGGGCCAGTGGGCCAAATGGAGTTACTTTTCTAGACGCATCGCTGGGGCGTGGTATTTGTATCTGTATCTTTCAGGTTTTGTAATTGAATTGCGGCCGTGTGGGAGCCAGAGCCTCCATGGAAGAAAATATGCCACAATGTGGTTTGGTTTCCTTGCTCCTCTAGATGTGGTTGCCACATGTGTGTCTCTGGGTGGGTTACGTGGTAACACCCACGGCAGGTGGCTCATAATTTGCATCAAACGCATGCCACTCGCTTCCATAAAACTATCTCTTAGTTTGATGTTCTTCCTGGCACTTTCTCAGCTATCTAATGGATACTTTTCCATTTCCTGGTTGGACTTCTGAGCTTATCTGAGTGGAGAATTGTATTCTTTTTCTGGAAAACTCTATCTTTCATGCCCCCTTCCGCTTTCCCCCCGCCCGCCTCGTATTTTTGAAGCAATTTGCGTGCCAAGTTGGAGGCAACTCGAGGAACATGTCCAAAAGTTGATATTTTTGGGGCCAGAAACAGAGGCAGGGGGGGGGGTGCCGGCACTTGACTGCATTTTTTTCCCAATCTTGTGCAACAATCCAACGCCAGTTTCCGAGCTTTATTTACTATATATATGTACTATCACATATAGTACTATTATATACAATATGCATAGTGTTTTTCGTTCTATTATCAGCTCGAACGCGGAGGAAAATGTATTTTTTTTTATACCCTTTCAGAGGGTATTATGGATTTTGTCAAGAGTGTGCTACGCAGTAAAGGAGACATTTATGACCCTATTAAGTATATATATTCTTGATCAGAATCACCTCCTAAGATGATATGAGTATGTCTGTACTAAGTCTGTTAACTAGCCTCTTAGTTTTAAAGCTATAGACTTGATGCTATCGACCCTTCTTTCTTTTGAACTCAGTATATAAGTCGAAATTGACCGGGATCGGTTGACTATACCCTATAGCTGCCATATAACTTATTGATAGGAAATGCTATAACTTGAGTGTTTTTAGAGTTAGAGAGATGGGATTTCCTATGGATTCTATTTATGGCTAAATAATACGACATACCAAATTTTATCAGCATCGGTTGACTATATTCTATAGCTACCATATAACTGAAAGATCAAAAATGACCCCAACTTTCGTGGTTTTAAAAATAGAAGGTTAGAACTTCATAAAGATTATATATTTTACCAATTAATCCAAAATACCAAAGTTTATAAGGATCGACCTACTATATCCTATAGCTGCCATATAACTGATTGATCAAAAATGCCATAACTTTGGTGTTTTTTTAAAAAGTAATTTGAAAGTTTGTACAGATTTTATTTTTGGTAAGTTGGTCGGACATACCAAATTTCATCGGAATCAATCGACTATATCCTATACCTGCCATATAACTGATGAATCGATAATGGTATAACTTGAGTGTTTTTAGAGTTCGAGAGCTGGGATTTTCTATCGAAACTATTTCTATCAAAATAATACGACATACCAAGTTTCATCAGAATCGGTCTTCTATATGTTATAGCTGCCATATAAATGAAAGGTCACAAATGGTACCAACTTTGTTATTATTGACGATAGAAGCTTGTGACTTTCTTATTAAATTTTATAATCTAATAAATTGGTTTTATTACAAAATTCTAATAAGGATCGGACCACTATATGCTTCATATTAGATATATGTATATCCAATCTTAACTGGAAGGGTATACCAACTTCGACTCCCCTTAAAGTTAGCTTTCCTATCTCGTTTTTTTATTTTCTGTCATCGTCAGCTGCGAATTCGGTTGGCACTTTTTTTTTATTTTAAATGTGGATTTTTGTCATTTGTTTGTTTTTTTACGGAAAGGGGAGGGGTTGGAGGAGGGGGTGTTTCCATAACAAGAAGTTGCAATGAGTTTCTGGCTTGAAATGCATGACGATCGTGGGGTCTTTGGTGTGCAATGCTTATGAGAATTATTGTTCGCCAGGTTTTGGTTTTCCTTCAGATATTGTTTCAGTTTCAGGTCTGAAGAGGTTGGAACTTGATCGACCAGGTTAGGGCTCTCTTGAGAGCCACCCTACCCTATTGGAGCTTCTTTCATGCTTAATTTTGTATCTTATTTTTGTATCTGTGTATCTGGGAGTGTATCTGTTAGTTTGGTAATAAAAAACCATCTCTTGTGCATAGGTAGGCAAATCCCAAACCCAAATCGGACAGCTGCACTCCATTCCAAGTCACTCCACTCCATTGTTGACTTGCCCCCTTGCCTCCCCTCCCTTGTACCTTTAAAATATTTTCACATTTTTGATTATATTACAGATTCAGCGATTTTTCTTTTCATTGTGGGGTCTACCATATAGCTCTCTACCCTACTCTATATGGCCAAAGGCTTGTCGTCGGTGCTGTCTTTGTTTATTTTGTCTCTGGCGGGGATTGTTTAGCTCAATTTGGGGCTTTTAAGAAAAAGGTGACGAAAGTGCTACTCCACTGAATGATTCATAAATATTTTTCTTTCTTTTTTAATAATTGCGGCAATCAGAGAGCTTCTTTAGTTACTTTCTTATAGGAAATTCGATATTGTTTAAAACACCTGCCAGGGTGTATCTCTAATCGATTTTTTTATGGATAGTTGGCTTCAAGTCAGGCTCCATTAGTGGCTGTCATTAATTTGCATAAAATCGGCGGCCTAGTTGGAGCATCAGAACAGCATTCTGATGGGATCCCCGCCTGGAACTAATCACTAAGAGGTGTGACACTGCAGATGGTTGTGTTTTGAGTTAGAAAGCCAGAGCTCCCCTGGAGCTTCTAAACTGGATACCAAACCGTAATCACCTTCTAAAAAAAACAAGCATCCTCCATCTGCCAATCATCATCCTCTAGCTATCGTCACCTAAATTGTTATCGTCTCTCGTTAAGCATTTTGATTTATGGATAAAGTTGGATGGAAGGAGGCTCTACTGCCTGCCTGCCTGCCTGCTCACTCAATTAAAACTGTATTAAATGTAAAATGGCTTTAAAAAGATGGCATCTGTTGGATACTGTTGCCCGGAGGGGGATCTATGTCCAGTAACCGGTTCAGCAGGACGACAACTCAATCTCGAGAGTAGCTAGTCAGGCATGGGGGGCATTTAAAACAATTAAAGTGGAAAGATAATTGAAACTAGTGGCTCTAGTGAGGACCTGACTGGAAAGCATAAATTCTTGAGAAGATTACCCATCCTGGTAAACCTTTCTAGGGGGCCTTCTGTTAGATATTTTTGTGGCCATGTACTTGACACCTCTGATTACCCCACTTGAGGTTACTGCTCCTCGCCAGAGACCTCTAGCTCAGTTCTCTGCCCTCTTGGGTTCTCCTATTGTTTGATTTCATTGGAGTCTCGATGTCGACGTCGATGCTGATGTTTGTGGCTGCTTTTGTTTACTTAATCACTTTTTATGCGTCGCAGTTTGTTGACTTGAAGCCTCCGCCTCTGCCTCCACCTCCAGGGTCGTTGTAAGCGTCATCGATGAGGGTGCTAAAGTGCAGAGACCTAACCTCGATCCCTATACTCATGTCTTTCCTATCTTTCATTGCAGGGTCGTCATACAAAGACTGGCCAACTGGCTGCCATAAAGGTGATGGACGTCACCGAGGACGAGGAGGAGGAAATCAAGCTCGAGATCAATGTGCTGAAGAAATACTCGAATCATCGCAACATCGCCACCTACTATGGGGCGTTCATCAAGAAATCGCCGCCGGGCAAGGACGATCAGCTCTGGCTGGTGATGGAGTACTGCGGTGCTGGCTCTGTAACGGATCTGGTCAAGTCCACCAAGGGACAGAGCCTCAAGGAGGAGTGGATAGCGTACATCTGCCGTGAGATACTGCGTGGCTTGGCCTACCTGCACTCCAACAAGGTCATCCATCGGGACATCAAGGGCCAGAACGTTCTTCTCACCGACAATGCGGAGGTGAAGCTGGTGGACTTTGGTGTCTCCGCCCAGTTGGATCGAACGATAGGACGGCGCAACACATTCATCGGTAAGAGGATGCGAATAGGAGGAGGAGGATGCGAGGATGAGTCAGAGACTAAACTTGATTTTTTCTGCAGGTACTCCCTATTGGATGGCCCCCGAGGTCATTGCCTGCGACGAGAACCCCGACGCCACGTACGACAATCGCTCCGATCTGTGGTCGCTGGGCATCACCGCCCTCGAGATGGCTGAGTCACAGCCCCCGCTCTGCGATCTGCATCCGATGCGAGCCCTCTTCCTAATCCCCCGCAACTCTCCGCCGCGCCTCAAATCGAAGAAGTGGTCCAAGAAGTTCCATGGCTTTATTGACACGGTGCTAGGTGAGTCATCGATTGGCTTCGATGGGCTTGGAATGCTAATCCCTCTTTCCCCTTCCCTCACCCAACAGTGAAGGACTACCACCAGCGGCCTTACACCGAGAACCTGCTGAAGCACGCCTTCATCAAGGACCAGCCCACAGATCGCCAGGTGCGCATCCAGCTGAAGGATCACATCGATCGCTGCAAGAAGCGCAAGCAGGAGAAGGAGCGCGAGGACTACCGCTACTCCGGCTCCGACAACGACGACGACGAGCCGCAGTTGGCCGGCGAGCACAGCTCCATTGTCCAGGCACCCGGAGGCGACACCCTGCGTCGCAACTTCCAGCAGATCCAGGAGGGCCGACTGGCCGCCGAACAGCAGCAACAGCAGCAGCACCACCAGCTCATGGCCCAGGCCCAGGCTCAGGCGGCAGCTGCCCATGCCGCCGCCCAGGCCCAGGCTCAACTGCAACAGCAACAGGCCGCCGCGGCGGCGGCAGCGGCCCAGCATGCAGCCCAGCAGGCCCAGGCCGCCCAGCAGCAGGCTCAGGCCCAGCAGCCCCAAGCGAATCGTCAACAGAAGCCGCAATCGGTTTGTTACCATCCTCTTTCTTGGAATGACATTATTAAAGCTAAGATACTTCCAGCGCCAGCAACAGATCGAGGAACCTGGTCCGCCGGCAAGACCGCCACAGCGCCTGATCGTGGTGCCGGATCCGCCGCATGCCAATCGGCCATTGCCACCGACCCCCAAGTGCGGGGAGCCGGCGGGACAGACCGCGCAGCAGCAGCAGCGTAACTCGCAGAATAACTTCAAGCCATCGGTGGGTAGCATCGTCCAGTGTCCAGATAAGGGCTATTGGAAGAGAACTAGAAACCGAACTAGAATCAAGAAATTATACTTTAAGATAAGGCCTCCACCCCGTCCCCAAACCTGTAATGAGTAACCCCCCTATATGTAGTTTCGATTTATTTTTTGGAACCATGTATACATCGATAGCATCTTATCTTATCCCAAATTATATCTCTTTTATTTTCATGTTTTGTGCGCCTACATAATCTATATACAAATATCTATATACCGCCACCTATATGCATTGATAACCACCACCCGTATGTACTCTATAATTTGAATCATGTGTCCATCATGCCACACTACACTGTAAAAAAAAAAATGTAAAAAAAACCAGTTACCACCAAGGAGACCTGAGGTATGTCCTATGATTTTTAGTTCAAAAGCCTGTATTATTTTTTTGAGGAGCGAGGGTAATGCCTGCAGTGCCCTCGACCTCGTTTGTTGTAACCCAGATACCTACCCCCCCTTTTTCGGAGCTCTTTTTGTCGAAATTCCATCCAATTTAAGGAGGTAACCCCCTAACTTTCCACACCCCCTGCACGTACCACTAAACATCCAATAATGTAGACCGTGATTGATGAGTTTCTAATGCCATCAAAGGCTTATGGGCCGAACCGTGGGATATACATGTGTATCTTCTCCAACCACTAACCTAGATACTACTGCTACTCCTAACCCACCTATGTATCTGCTGCGATGCGAACCTCTATCCGCTTGGCGTTCTTGATCGTTATATCTGTAATCTGTAAGAATAGTGACGAAGGAAGATCAATCTAATGCTCTCTTATATTTCCTTCCCGCCCCCCCGAAAAACCCGTGGTATTACGTGCAAACTACACACACAACACAACACACACCACACACACCCACAACATGACACACAAAAAATCCTCCTGCCCCTTGAAAAAAAAAACAACAAAAAAAATTTATTGTAAAAAAAAAATGTAGGACCATTTGGATGTGTTAGCAGCACAATTAAATGAATTGGGCGTGGTCTCCTCCCAACAGCCGCAGCCCCAAACAGCTGCCGGATCCAACCAGCAGCAGCAGCAGGCCCAACCGGAGGCGCCTCCCCGCAACAACAGGCAGTCGGCATCTGGAGTGGGCTCCGCGTCCGGTGGTTCCTCCAAACCGGCCGCTGCACTGCCACCACAGTCTGGAAACAATCATCTGGGACAGCCGGTGAATCCGTTGGATCCTCTGGACAGCAGCGATTCGGATAGTGAGCCGGATGAGCCGAACGATCGGGCAAGGAACGATGGCACTCTGCTGGCCAGCGATCCACCCAAGCCACTGTAAGTAGCGAATCACCAGAAGGGCGTGGCATGTAGAAGAAGATCACCAGTAGATCGCTCGGAATACTAACTCGAAACCACAAACATTTCTGTCTCTCACTTATTTATAAACCCATCCCCCATTGGATTACCCAACCACACCCACAAACCCACCATCCCAACCACCTTCCCACCCATTTCATTTCCATTTTTGTCGAAACCATCGATATGCCGGCCCCCCTTTTGTGTTTTTTTTTTGTTGCTTTTTTTGGTTTTCTGTTATGTTCAGACCCGAATTTTCATATAGACCCGGATTGGGACCCGTTTCCGAGGATGGTAACACGACAACGCCGCTGGGACATGGTAGCGGAGGACCTCCCAACCGGCCACTGCCCCCCACGCCGGATGACGACGACCAGGCCGGCGATCGTACGCTGATCATGAAGCGCGTAAGTCCACTAAGCTATAGATTATATATCCCCACCGATCACCGATCTATATCCTTTAGTTTAGTTTTTCGAAGGGAGGGCTTAGCAGAAATGAGATGTTAGGAAAAGTCGGTGGAAAAATTGTATAAATTGTAAAAAAAAATAGCTTTGATGAGGGTTTGAGGTCTGACTAAAAATTAAACCCACCCCCCAACTAAACTAAAACAAGAGTATGATTAGGCTCAACCTGGTTGTGGTTCTATAGTGAGTTACTTAAGACTATTTAGCTTAAAATATATATACTATATACCCTTTGATTTCCCTACTAAATCTACCTGAACTTTGAATTAATTCTTAATTTGATTTTTAATATTTAAAAAAATATATATTTTTTAATTTAGTATTTATGGCGTTTGAAACAGTGTGAAATCTTTTTCGTGAATTTTCTTTCTATTTTCTTTTAATTTTTTGTATATTTCTTTCTGATAATGAGCCATGTGTGATGTTGCATCTTAAGAATATAAAAAATTAATAGAGAGAATATCTATTTGTACATACATATATGAATATATATTATTTATATAGTACATGCACCGAGCACACAGACACACACACACCCATCTCTATATATATATTTTTGAATGCAGAATTCATGAAAGACTTTCCATGCTGTGTGGTGGGCGGGTTTCTAGTCCTAGATGATACCAACCGACCAACTTAACACAATTCTTCTCTTGCTGCGTACTCACCAACAACAACAACAACAACAACAACTACTACTACTACAAACAACAACCCCCCCTTGAAAAACCCCCTTTGATTAAAAAAAAAAAATAGAAACAAGAACAGAACGCGAATCGACTTCAAAAGTCCGCCTCGACATCCCATGCTAGTGTCACGCCCCGTTCTGGAGTCACCCATCCCGAGTCCCGCCTGATGGAGGACTGGGAGTTCGATCGGTTCTTCCCCAAGTTCGCCGCCACGGCCAGCCTTAGCCGGAGCTCCCAGCAGAGCACCCTCAAGGTGGAGACGAAGCTGCAGCGGGCCAGTGTGGCGGAGGCCATCACCCGTCCGGTGCCGCGGGGCTATCAGCCGTTGAAGGGCGGCGACCCGCCACCAGCCACAAGTGCCAGCCAAAGTATTGCCAAAGAGAAGGTAGGAGCCGGAAGTGGTAGCGGAAGTTCCAGCTCCACATCGACCACATCGCACAAGCGCCAGGAATCAGATTCCAAGCTGCCGATGAATTTTGTACGCGGCTTCCGACGCGAAAACTCGGATTTCTTCCCGCTGACGAAACGCTACTCGGCGGTGCTGAGTGGTGGATCCACGGCCGGAGGATCGGCTGGCCAGCAGCTGCAATCGCCGCAGATGGTGCAGGCCCAGAGGGCCAGTGCCGTGTACCAAAGGAACAGCATTTACAACAGCAGTGCCAAGGAGAACAAAACGGGAGGGGGAACTGGAAGTGGAGCAGGAACTGGAGCAACGGCCTCCTCGGCATCTGTGAAGGGTGCTGCCGCCAAGCCTGCCTCCAAATCGTTGGTGAACTTCAACTTTATGCGACCGCGTCGCGAAAAGACTGAATCCGTGATTGTGTTGCAAAATGCAGCAGTTCGTGCCGCACAGCAGAGGCAACAACAACTGCAACAACAGCAGGAGCACCAACTGCAGCAACAGCAGCAGGTAAACGTTCTCAGATCGCACCACCAAAGAAAGGCAAACATTTAATTCCCCAAAAAAAAAAACGACTGAAAACATAATTCATCCAAAAATCAAAACAACAAATTACTGAAATATGTTGCCACATTTTGTTGCCACTCTGACCATTTAATTGTGTTTTTTTGTCTTGGCGCCAGAAACGTAAACCAAACCCAAACTATAAAAAAAAAAAACAGCAAAAACAAAATTAAAATAAAAATCAAAGAGCAACTTAATGCTGAAATCTACCATTTGGCTCGCTATACTCCCACCATCATGCACACACACACACCCCACACACACGCACACTCGCACTCGTTAATAACATTAACTAACAGCTCGTAAATAATTAAGAAACAAATCACCAAACAAAAAATAGAAAAACATTTAACAGCTGGAAATGATATTATAAAAACAAAAAGGCTCACTTGTTATTATTATTTTTGGCATGTTTTGGTTACTATTTGGTTTCATTCTCATTTAATTTGTATCTATGTATCTTTGTATCTTTTTATCAGAACGCCATCTCTAGAACGATAACTAATCCAAGTCTTAAGAACCTCGATTGCTTTCTAACTGGTCTTGTACATAACTCTGTATTGAAAAAAAAAATTAACTAAAAAAACTAAAAATCATTAAAAACAAAAGAAGCTAAAAAATCGAATGCTAATGAGAAAAAGTTATAATACTCGAAGGGCAAGATACTGAGATTAAAATAAAAATTTGTATATCTAAATATAGTTAGGATCATAGACCTTATAGAGACACTGCTACTATCTCTTTGTGTGTAAACTAGACTCTGCTCTGCTCGTATCATCATCTTCCTAAAATTCTATACCTCCTACTGCTTATGCTCCAAAATTGTTTTAAAGCTTTCCGCCTCTCGCTCTGGAAACTCTCTGGAAAATCAATTAAGAAAAGTTTGCTGGTTTGGTTAGCGACTCTGTTTTCAGAAGAAAAGTTTACCTGCTGAGTTGCCAGCTGCGGAGGAGGATGAGGAGCAGGAGGAGGCGGATCCCAACTAATTTTAAGTGCTCTCCTAGCTTTAAAACAATTTTGTGGCAGGACTTAGGACATAGGACATCTACCTAAATGTGTTAATTTTTAAGATCCTAGGTCTCTCATTGGCATTCATTTATGTATTACATTATATACTTACCATTATTGTGCTGCTGCTCTTTTGAATCTTTTTCGATATATGTTTTCCTCCACACTCTACTATATATAACCCCCTATCCTCCCCCAACAATCTTCCCTAATTTCATTACAAATCTGTTATGTTTTTGTTCTGTGAAAAGTCCAAAGGTCAAGTGGAATTTTTTAAAAAATTTGTATCATCTGTCCTCCCACACAGAACCGAGGAGGAGGCGGTGGCGGCGGCGGAGGCGGAGGCGGTAGTGGCGTCACCAGCGGAGTGGGAGCCGATGGCCTGGGCACTCCTGGAACCCGGACCAGTAGCGTCCTGCCGGACCTGCTCAGCCAGGCATCGCCGGCAACGCCACCACGCCATGATAAATCATCCAGTGAGGAGGTGAGTAATGGTGGCCATAAATACTCTATATGGTTCTATATATTTTTTTTATTATTGTTTTTGTGTAATACCCCCGCCCCCATTGAGCCACCCACCTCGTCTCGTGATATATTTTACGTTTTAATCGAATTTCTTTGTTATTTATTTATTTTTTTGTGATAATATCTTGTTGTATCGTTCGTTCTGTTCCACTGTCTGTTGAGATTTCATGTCCATTTGTTGGCTCTTCCGGTTGTGATAAGGAAGTTCCATGTCATTGTCCCTGAATCATTCACCTCCCCTCTAGATATAGATTTTAGTTAAAAATTCAAAACGATACACTATGAAGTTTCTTAAATAATTTATTTCCCATCCTAACCCCTATGTTTGTGACTAATCCTTAAGATATCCTTAGCCTAAAAGTGGAACAAAGTTCATTATGAAGAGTATAAAATTGGATCGAGAATCAGTTGCATGTAGCTTTTATAAAGTGCATGTCCCAATTAATTAATTAATTTTTAAAAAATTAAAAAAAAAACTGAAAACCCAAAAAAACCAAAAAACGTTTTTTTTCAACAATTTCTTCTTCTTAATTGTGCTTTGTCTTTCCGCAACGTTTGAGCTGATGGCCGATATACGATATATATACGATATATTCTAACCAATTACAATTAAATTACGTAAGTAAGTATGAATTAAAAAAAAATACCAAAAAGCATAGTTTCCAAAAACCAGTCCCAAAAAAAACTATCAATATACCAGACTATTGTGTATAATTTTATATATATATTTCTTCAATCACCTTCTCGTCACTCTCTGTATGTGTTTCAGTTCAAAAGATGATCTTGTCTTTATTTTATTAGTAATTTTTAATGGAAATGGTTATCTAGTTTATCTAGTTCTACAATATGTCTCTATTTTAATGTAAAGTCCCTAATTTTCATTTAACTTTCACTTGATTTCCACACACACACACATACGATATACACTATATATTCATACTCTTACCATTGGCCTCTCGGGAAAGACTTAACACATTTGATTTTTTATCAGAGTTTTTATTTTTTTTATTAACACACACACATTTCCACCTCTCAACCTTTTAACCTTTGGGATGCACCTCCCACCACCCACCACCCATACCACACACCCCCTACACAGTCCAGCATGTGAATTGTTTTACTTTATTTATTTTTTTAGTTGACATCTCAAGACTAATTACGATTTTTTTCTTGCACTTTTCTATTTTTCTTTTCTTTCCACTCAATCAATATAAAAAAAAATCCCCAAAAAACCAAAAATTCCAAAACGAAATCAATCGAAAATCGATTTATTATCGAAATAATCGAATAATAGTATCAAGCGGCCATTAGCTCATCCGTGCATTCCACGCCATCGAAATCGTTTATTGCCACCAGCGGCAGCGGCGGCAGTGGAGGTGGCGCCACTGGCGGCCACGGCCTGGGGGGCGGTACCGTTGTGGGCGGGGTGATTATCAGCGCCAGCAATCATTCACCCCAATCAACGATATCGCTCGCCTCGTCGTCGTCGAACTCGCGCCAGAACTCGCCCAAGAACTCAATCAGCAAGACGCGCTCATCCAGCAGTATTACTAATCTCTTGCACAAATCTGCTTCTTCCTCCTCCGCGAACCTACACATGAACCACCTGACGCCCTGCTCCTCAACATCCTCGGCCTCGGCCTCGAATCCCCTGCCCCCGCACGCCTATGCCCTCCAACAGAAGCAGCGCAGCTTCCTGACCTTCGGATTTGGGGCTGGCGGTTCGGGTCCATCGCGCCGGGAGTCTCATGTCAATGTCAACGTGACACCCACCTCCCATGAAGCGGCCAACGATACGCCCGAGATCCGTAAGTATAAGAAGCGGTTTAACTCGGAGATCCTGTGCGCGGCCTTGTGGGGCGTCAACCTGCTGATTGGAACCGAGAATGGACTGATGCTCCTGGATCGCTCCGGCCAGGGAAAGGTAACTTCTAGCTAGACCTTCTCTGAAATCATAATCTTTATAAACTCTGCTCCTTGTAGGTCTATCAGCTCATCTCGCGACGTCGTTTCCAGCAAATGGAGGTGCTAGAGGGCCAGAACATATTGGTGACCATATCCGGCAAGAAGAACCGAGTGCGAGTCTACTACTTGTCCTGGCTCAAGTCAAAGATCTTGCGCACTGACGGTCTCTCCGATGTGAGTTCTTACCAATCCGAACTATTAATCTTAATCTTAATTTTAAATCTTGAACAATATAGCAAGTGGAGCGTCGCAATGGGTGGATCAATGTGGGTGATCTCCAGGGTGCTGTACATTTTAAGATTGTCAAATACGAGAGGATTAAGTTCCTAGTGATTGCATTAAAAGACTCTATTGAAATTTATGCATGGGCTCCCAAACCATATCACAAATTTATGGCATTTAAGGTTTGTATCTTAAAAATCTTTAAATTTAATTAAATATTAATAAATTAATTAATCTTATTTAAGAATTTTGGTGAATTGGAACATCGCCCGCTTTTGGTCGATCTCACAATTGAGGATCAGTCAAGACTGAAAGTGATCTATGGCTCCGCCGAGGGTTTCCATGCGGTTGATTTAGATTCAGCTGAAGTATACGATATATATCTTCCCAAACATGTAAGTAATAAAATTATTTATTGTTTATATATATTTAAAAATTGATTTTTTATTTCTACAGACTCAGGGTGCAATCATTCCGCATTGTATTGTGGCGCTTCCGAACTCAAATGGCATGCAACTGCTGCTGTGCTACGACAATGAAGGCGTCTATGTTAACACTGTGGGTCGTGTTTCCAAAAACATAGTGCTGCAGGTAAGATCGAGTAATAATCTTTATAAAATATATAAGCTAATGATAGCCTTTTTTTAATGTCTTTCAGTGGGGCGAGATGCCCACATCAGTGGCCTATATCGGCACTGGACAAATCATGGGCTGGGGCAATAAAGCAATAGAGGTAATCCCTATCTAAGATATTATTTAATTAAGTTATTTATAATTTCATTGGATTTACAGATACGTTCCGTCGAAAGCGGCCACTTGGATGGTGTTTTTATGCACAAGAAGGCGCAGCGCTTGAAATTCCTTTGCGAGCGCAACGACAAAGTATTCTTCAGCAGTGCCAAAGGTGCTTCATCGTGTCAAATCTACTTCATGACGCTCAACAAGCCGGGCATGGCCAACTGGTAAAGCGGAGCTCCGATTCGGGGAGACTCCAATCTCGACCACCGGCGAACAAAACCACATTTTATCTTCTTATTTTACCCAACACAACACACACAAATGAAAGTATCTAAAATCGAAAAAAAAAACCCATAACGATGATAATTAGATGATTTAAGTGAAGAGTGCATAATACCGATTAAGTGAGAGATATCCTACACGATCATGAACTTGTGCTTATGAGAAATTCAACCATGACAACGTTTCAATTAGTAAATGTGCTAAGCAGGACTCGACCAACTGGTGCACATCGAGTCTATATAAATAATCTACTTAATATTTAGAAGCGGACATTTAAAGCTCACTCGCCGAGGTTTTTCGTCAGATCTGGTCAGAAATACTCCTGCGTGAGAATCGCAGGATCGCAATTAAAGCAATCTATTATAACCCTTTATCCTTTTGATGTATGTATATTGACGTTACATAACACTCGGAACAAGCTAATCACATCCGGATTATGAGCTAATGATTTTCATATTTTGCTTAAAAGTTAAACTTATGTTGAAAAACAGCAAACCGAAATAGACCCACACATTACAAACAAAAATATGTATAACGAATTTTCTAAACAGAAGCAGAAGAACGTATATATACATATATATATATATATATTAATTATATAGTAATAGATATATGCAGTTAGTTTTTGTTCTTGATATTATCAGATAGAATTTATTTGTGCGTTTCTGATGATGAATTAAATGTTAGTGGAGAGCGAGCGAGAGCCGCGGACAATTAAATATATAGAAATATATTGTCTGAGCTCATTTTAATGGAAAGCGAAAACAAAACCCACATAAAACGCCATTGTAAAAACTAAGTGATAAACAACAAAAAAAAAATTAAATAATTGATTATATGTAAAATAAATCCGAAAAGCAACCGGAACAGAGCATGCTTGCGAGGATATCTAATGCGAGGAAAGCTACCTTAATAACAAAAAAAAAAATAATATTTAAAAATTTTTGGAGGGAATTACAAACGAGAAACCTAGTTAAGCTGCATTTTTTACTGAACTTTTATACAAAAAGCAAAGAAAAAATATAAAAGATATAAAAAACAAATGAGGAAAATTAAACCAAAATTCTACAAAATCGTAGCACATTTAAATAAAATAATGGATGTCCATTGACGAACCATCTCCGCTTGTTGTACCGTGTGCATTTCCCGTTTACGTTCTTCAAAGCTTCAATATCAAAAGTGGTCATGTTGCAATATAACTCTATATCGACAGTATATAGATCTTTTCAACTTTCCAACCTGCCACACACTGCAATACGATGGAACACTAATTCCGCCTTATTTTGTGTTGTTTGCATGTAACCGTACACCTAATCACCCCCTAATCTTCCACACCCTCCTCCTCCACACAACAAAAAAAAACGTCTCATTAAGAAATATATATTTAAAATATTGTTTGTTTTTGTGTTATATATACAAATGAATGTACGCCCCCCGCCCCTATATATTTAATAATGTTCATCGAAGCAAAATGGAAAAGTGCACTAAAATGCAAATTTAAAAACCGAAAAAAATTAAAACAATTAGTAATAAATGCTTACTTTATTTCTAAAATAAAACAAGTAAAATGATACAGAAATGAATGTAAATCTAATTATTATATATATATAATCTCAAAATTAAAAAAAAAAATACAAAAAAATATATCTTAATGGTTTTATTTTAATTATCAAGGTTTGTAATCCATATCCTCCGAGGGGCTACATCTTGGAATAAAGAAGTAAACTTTTGAGGGCATGTCTTGGTTAATATTCATCCGATTCTTGAGCGGAATACCTTAAACGAATTGTGGATCCATTTCTGATCGATCTGCATCAAAATCTTAATACAAATTTTCGATTCGATTTTTTCTGAAATTTTCTCAGGGGTTCCCTATAAAAATTCAGAAAATGCTTGGGAATCGAATATTGCCCAGAACTATGGCTATATCTTTTTCAGTAGTCATCCGATTCTTGAGCGGAATACCTTAAATGAATTGTGAATCCATTTCGGATCGATCTGCATCAAAATCCCAAAACAAATTTTCAAATTGATTTTTTCTGAAATTTTCTGAGGGATCCCCTTCGAAAATTCTAAAAATGCTTGGGAATCGAATATTGCCCAGAATTATGTCTATTTCTTTGCCAATAGTCATCCGATTCTTGAGCGGAATACCTTAAATGAATTGTGAATCCATTTTGGATCGATCTGCATCAAAATCCCAAAACAAATTTTCAAATCGATTTTTTCTGAAATTTTCTGAGGGATCCCCTATAAAAATTTAAAAATGCTTAGGAATCGAATATTGCCCAGAACGATGGCTATATCTTTGACATTAGTCATCCGATTCTTGAGCGGAATACCTTAAACGAATTGTGGATCCATCTAAATCTCAAATAATTGATTGAATAATTTTAATAAATCAAGAACTTAAAACCTTTTTTAATACCATTGAGTTGTATTATTTTAGTATTAAAGAAAAAATACTTTGCGTTTACAGCACACTACTTTTAGTTAACAGGGCGCTGTTAACGCGATAAACGGCGTGAAGTTGGCTGCGCTAGGCTGCCGTATTTTCCTCTCTTTCTTTTCTTGGATTTGGTAGGTGAAGGAATGGAAAATTTAATCGCGAAAATTAAAGCTTATATCGTCGCATCCAATAAAGAAACAAAACAAAACAATGTCGACAACTAATGCAAAAGCCCTTGGGCTAAATATTTTATGGATGCGGCGATGCACACACTTACAATGGATACCTATGATGTGGATACTTCGATACCTGTGTTAATGATTGGTCTTGGATTTGTTTTACAGCAATGGGTCGCGTTATTCGTGCACAGCGTAAAGGCGCAGGGTCTGTCTTCAAGGCCCACGTAAAGAAGCGCAAGGGAGCCGCCAAGCTGCGTTCCCTGGACTTCGCCGAGCGTTCCGGCTACATTCGCGGTGTTGTCAAGGTTGGTACTCCGCCCTCAGCTTAACTTTCCCTCTATGATCAAACTTCTAATTTTTGTATTCTTTCTCGATATTAGGACATCGTCCACGATCCCGGCCGTGGCGCTCCTCTGGCCGTCGTCCACTTCCGCGATCCCTACCGCTACAAGATCCGCAAGGAGCTGTTCATCGCCCCCGAGGGCATGCACACCGGACAGTTCGTCTACTGCGGTCGCAAGGCCACCCTGCAGATCGGCAACGTGATGCCCCTGAGCCAGATGCCTGAGGGTACCATCATCTGCAATCTGGAGGAGAAGACCGGTGATCGCGGCCGTCTGGCCCGTACCTCTGGCAACTACGCCACCGTGATTGCCCACAACCCCGACACCAAGAAGACCCGTGTCAAGCTGCCCTCCGGCGCCAAGAAGGTTGTGCCCTCCGCCAACCGTGCCATGGTCGGCATCGTTGCCGGTGGCGGTCGTATCGACAAGCCCATCCTGAAGGCCGGTCGTGCCTACCACAAGTACAAGGTGAAGCGCAACAGCTGGCCTAAGGTGCGTGGTGTGGCCATGAACCCTGTGGAGCATCCCCACGGTGGTGGTAACCATCAACACATCGGTAAGGCTTCTACCGTTAAGCGAGGCACCTCCGCCGGTCGTAAGGTCGGTCTCATCGCTGCCCGTCGTACCGGTAGGATCCGTGGTGGCAAGGGTGATGCCAAGGACAAATAAGCACTGGTTGTGGCTGTCCGGCGTGGAGCAGGTTCCGCCCGAGTTCATCAGTAATGCTCCAGTTCTAGTAGTAGTACTGTTGTGTGTGGCTCTGTTTGAAAAAAAACGCTATAATTTACATGGAAAATCTGTATGTTTTCGGCATACACGTGACACGGCGGAATAAAACTTATTTGTAAAAATATTTGTTATGCATTTTTTATTAATGTTTTTATCAATATTTATGTTTAATTTTTATACTTGGATAAAACTTATCCAGAACATCCTTCAGCCATATAAGATTAATAATACGGTTCAAAACCGGTTTTGAGTAAGATTTGTATTCTTCAACAAGAACAATCTCCAGTTTCCGGATGAGGTTAGAGAGGGGTTTAGGTATCTTTTAAACACAATTTTTATAAACAACTTAAATTTACAATCGAATATTTGTTTATTTTTCGAAATAAAATTCAAATACCATTTGAAGGAATAAAAGTATGATCATAATAAGGCCCATAGAATGTTAAAAGGTACATTTATTTATTAAAACAAAACAAAAATAGGTTCCAGACTGTTTGTTTATTATATAAAAACTAACGGTAAAGACAATTGAAATTTAAAAAATTATTTTAAAGATATACGATTCGAAATGTAACATTCCTTATTCCGCCAGTTTTTAAAATTATTTACAAATGGTGGCTAAGAACAGAAAATTAAAGAAAGTATTTATTCAAAAACCATCAAAATATATTTATTTATTTTTAATAATTTTATAGTTTCATAATTTTTAAAAAACAATTCATCGCAAAAACTATCGGCTGGTATTCCACGGTCCACGGTCACACTGCAGGGCGTATTCCGCAGACCAGCCAACGGTCATCCAAAACGCAGATTGTGTGCGCGGATAGAAATAAATCAAAGTAATTTCCTACAATCCGCTTGAAAAAATGGATCGCACTTTCTACGAAGGCTGGCTGATTAAATCGCCACCCACAAAGCGCATCTGGCGTGCTGTAAGTTCAATTTTTTCGGGAAACCCCCGAGCCTGAAATTCCGGATGCGAGCCTGTGATAAACAATTTTCCAGCAAGCTACTTCCCGTACAGGAAATTCCTGTGGTCGAGTGTTGCTATAATTTTGAAAATTCCTACCCAGTGTCCCGCAATCTAAAGCCTTTAATAACGCTGACTTTAACGAATTTGGGGCTTGGCCTGAGTCACGGACCCAAAAAAAAACTATGGATAATGGAAGTGGCATTTTTTTAACAATTACCCTGCCACTGTGTGTGTGTGTGAGGAGTGCGTGACTGTGTGCGAGTGTTTGCCGTGACTATATGTTTGCCATATTTAATTCATGATTAATCCGCGGAAAAGGGGTATCCAATGCTGATTGGAATGCAAATAAGCTGAAACCGCAACGAGCGGGTCTTCGATAATTGCAAATGTGAATGGATTTCCGACGATGGCTTCATCTCTATCTCTCTTTCTCCTGCATGGGTGTGCGTATGCGTGTGTACGTGTATGTTTATGTTTGCTTATGGCGTGGGAACATGTTTGTGTTGTTGTTTTTGTAGCAGCTTTGCCGCTGGTCTAAATTTACGCTTAATTAATTTTCCGTTTAATGTTTACTTGAGGGATCCACAGAGGAGGCTCGTGTATTAAATTACCGCCAACTGTTGCCTTTAATCAAATTTATTTACCCCCGCCCCCTCCCCTGTACTTATAAAAAGCATATGCACAAAGAGAATTTATGTTATGCACTGGGAGAAAATCTTATTAATAATATCTAAAATATTTTGTTAATTTATATATAAAAATCTATCAAATGGTATAATTTTGAGGACTTGTTTTTCTAACTGTATATTCATATGTACTTAAATAGCTTGTTTTTCTTGTTGTTGTACTGGCGATAAGCCACATCACGCACCAACATGAATATAAGCATAGGAGACACAAAAACAATGACGCACTTGTCTTGTTCGCTTCTTGTTGTTGTTTTTATTGTTATTGTTTTTGTTTCGATAGGGGGCTAACATGGTTGTGTGTCTGTATCTGTGTGTGTGTGTGTGTGTAAATTGAAAACCACTTATAACGGAACCAAAACAGTTCCAAGAACACCCCAAAAACGATGTACGTCAAACTTTATTTACGGCTTCACTGTACTTGTTTGTTTATGTTTGGATCTGAATTACTGTACAAAATGGTATACTTTGTGGAGAACTATAAACAAAAATTCTTAATTGTAAACTAAAAATTGTATAAATGAAAATCTATGATTGGTTTTCAAAACAGAATTAATCCAAATTATTAAAAAATATATATATATATATTTTCCCACCACTTCCATCATTATCATGTAAACATCAGAAATATCAGGCACCTGGGGGTGCCAATTTCTGGTTTATGACTGTATGGCATTATGTTTATTGTTTATAATTCAATTAAGCGTGAAATTATACAGGCCAGAATAAAATCCATAAAAAAAAAAAGAAGAATCCAATGTTTGGCAATCACTTAGGGGTAACCGTGGGTGTGCTAACCCCAACCCGAGTACATAGTATTACCCAAGAAAATGTCAATGCTATATATGATTCGCGGAAAAGCAGCTCCACTGCCGCCGTCGTCGCTGCCCACTGCCACTGCTGGCTTCATCATCATCCGCTTACTCACCACCCGTGGATGATAGTATAGTAATGATACACATACATATCCAGTATATAGCCAGTCAGTCTTTCAGCTGATCAGTCGGGGCGTTAATGGACTGCACCCTCTTAGTATCCACAGTCCAACTTAACTCACAATATTGTTTTGCAGAAGAGGTGTGTTAGTCAAGTCGCTGATGATAAGACTTTGGAGCTATAATTGGCTATCAACTAGACATACTGGCATATATCCTGTCACTATAATCCAAGGCCTTATCGGTTACTGCTTTGTTTGTAAAATGTAAAAATAAAGTTTCTAATTTAAAACCCAGATTAGACAGTGCTATGATTCATTAGATTCTTAGAAATCTTAAGCTTATCACCTCAAACATGTCTGACTAGTGCCTATAATGAAGCTGTTGTAAGCCTGGTTACCAACTTAACCCACAGACTAATCTTCTTTCTTTATTTTAGCGCTGGCGACGCCGATGGTTCACACTGAAACAGGGCGAGATACCGGAGCAGTTCTGCCTCGAATACTACACCGACCACCACTGTCGCAAGCTGAAGGGCGTCATCGATCTGGATCAGTGCGAGCAGGTGGACTGCGGCCTGCGGCTGGAGAACCGCAAACAGAAGTTCCAGTACATGTTTGACATCAAGACGCCCAAGCGCACCTACTACCTGGCTGCTGAGACAGAGGCGGACATGCGTGACTGGGTCAACTGCATCTGCCAGGTGTGCCATCTGCACGACACCAAGCAGTCCAATGAACTGCCCCTGGGGGCAGTGGGAGCCGGTGGTGAGTGGCCTAGCCTGTCTTTTATACATAGATGGTATAATTCATTATTCAACTCCCCCAGATGAAAACCGAACACAGCACACCAGCTCCAGCGGGGGACTGAGCAACTCCACTCAGAATACAACCACCACTTCGCTTCACTCCTCGGCTGGAACGACAGCCGGAGGTGCTACTGGAAGCGGTGGTGCTGCCCAGATGCGGCGACCAGCCGTTATAGACCAGCAGCCGCTGCCTACCAACCAAGGAAACAATAACTCAGACTCGGTCTACGTCAATACGGAGTACAGCAATCGCGAGACCATGCTGTGCGATGCCAATTTTGACCAGCAGGAGCTCCTGTCGGCGGCCCAGCAGCAGCCGCCACCATCGCCAGCCACTGCTCTGTATTTAAACTATAGTGCTTTAATTCAGGCACGGGCGGCTGAGCTTAGCACCGAGCAACAACAGCAAGCGGCTCGGTTAGCGGTCAGTTGTAATGGAGTAGTGCGGAAGCTTCCGGAGCACCTGGTTCTCACTCAGCAAACTCTGGCGGAGGCGGCCGCCCAACAGCACAGCAGCGTTCAGGCCTCGCCCGCCCTCAGCACCGCCTCTGGCCCCTACATACCCATCAGCGAGTGTTTCTCGGGGAGTCCCAGGTTCTTGCCCGGCAGCGGAAACCCCTGTGCAGAGCTAGGCATACCAAACACACCGTTGAACAATCTCGACCCGAAGTTTTACGATACACCGCGGAGTCATAACAACATTGGTCTGAATCTGACCAACGATCAGTCCTGTTCCCCCAAGATAACCAACACCAATTTGAGTTTGGTAGGTTCTGGACACCTTTAGTTGGTTATTCCCCATTCTCAATGATATCTTTTCTGTTTGCAGCAACAACTGGCGAACGTCAATGCTAGCAAGCAGCGCTCTGACTCAGATTCCGAGAGTGTGTTCACCGACGACGACGAGTGGGCTCATCCACTGCCCCTGCGTGAGAATGTGGGTAAGTACATAGTCTTCAAGAGAAAACTATATATGTGATAACTCTTGGATTTGAATTATAGATCGCAGCACACGACCATCTGATAGTTCCATCGAAAACGAGTCCTTTGTGCTGACCTACTCGCAGCGTTTCTCCAAAATGCCCGAGGAAGGGGGAGCGGTAGTTCAGCCAACTGAAAAGAATTCCAAACAGGCGGGAGCAGCATCTCTGGCAGATGCGGGTGATCACCGGACGTTAGATAAGCTGGCCAAAGTGCTCAAGAACAAGAATAATCTCATATTGGACTTCAAGGAGAATGAAAAGTAAGTGGATTTAAACATGAAACTACTATAAACTAATAATTATCTTCTATTTTTAAGATCCCGCGATCTGCCGCAGTTGTCAGACACGGAAAACACTTCCCCAGCCATCGTGGCCGCACGAAATGCCAACTCCGTTTTTATCGAGGAGAGCTACGACATTCCACGCTCTCACCAGCTGCCCTACTACAACATGAACCAGCTCCTGAGTGAGAGGCCGGTAACCAGTCCGCACAACACCAATCCCATTGCCGCATCCACACCGAATCTCATGGCAGCTGGGGCTGGTGCCACTCCTTTGGCGAGCACAAATCCTGGCCAGGTGGGTGGGGCTCATGCACCTTCCTCCCCCACCAGCGCTCGGACGCTGCCTCGCCCCCACTGCTATACGAATGCCGCACCCACGAAGATGGAGGGCAATGTTTTTCGATACGATTTCATGGAGCATATGGACTGTCCGCCTGTCAACCGAAAGTTGAAGCCGAAGAACTCTAGTGGCATTCCTCCGAGCGTGGAGGATAAGCCACCGGAGGAGTGTCCGGCCAAGCCCCCGGTGGGAGTGGTGGAGCATTTGACCAGCAAACTGGGCGCTGCCCAGCTGCAGCAGCCCATTGGACCGCCCAGTGTGGACCGGAAGTGCAAACCAAATGCCTACAAGGTAACTTATTCATGGAATTTCTTAGGGACTCATACTCAGTAATGTTCTCACATTCCAGACTGGTACTTCGGCAACCATGTCGCCCCGTCGTGCGACAATGGTCTTTCCCCACGAAACGGATGTCCACGAAGCAGCCTCCTACTTGCATGAGACCCGCACCCTGCCGCGCCACCAGCCGTATCGCAGCCAACACTCCAACAGTCCCGGCAGCATGTCGGTGCAGCATCAGCGCACAGCCTCGGCGGCGGCTGCCATGATGAGTGCCGCGGCAGTTGCTCCCAAGCAGCAGCCACCACCGCAGGCGGAGCATAAGCTGCAGTATTTCGATCTGGATGTGACCAACAAGCCCCCCTTGCTGAATCGTTCGAGCATGAGTGTGGGTAACTTGTACTCGCAGGGCGGCAATGCCCAAGGTGGAATGCGACTGGCTCCCATCGATGCCGCCTCGGCCCGAGCTCCAGTGCCCAGCAGTGTGGTGTACAACTCCGTAGACTTTGTCAAGACGGAGGCATTTAAGAGGATACGAGAGGAGCGGAATAAGGAGAGCAAGGAGTAACCCATACAACTTCCCCTGAAATGACAACGTGCAATAAACCCAGGACCACGTTGCGGATCCAAAATCATGTAGTGCCTTCATCAGTATCCATTGCTGATCATTCCCTGCACTTGATAGAAAAAAAAAAACCGTGCAAATACCACCCATTTATCCACATATCTAGTTCTTATGTTTGCACCAGCTTCCCATCATCTCGTGGTGCTGATTTGAATCTGTATCTGTATCTCTAATCCAAATACGAATCTGAACCCATGTCGTGTCACCCGAATTCGTACTGTAATCGTGCTTCCAACACTTCCACTTTAATTGTTAGGCTCCGTAGTGGTAACCATGACACTTTTTATTGTTAAGATTCCATAATGCAACCCATGACAAACGATCTTAGTGCTAATTTACAACGCAAATCAATTATTTTATGTGCGCAAGCGAAATATTTATATATATATACACGAATTTTATATGGTAAACAAATTATATACAAACTATAAATGCGACACAAGCTGTTGCTTGATTTTGTGCTTTAAAAAAAATATATACTATATTTACATATTAATATCAATGGGGTGTGCATTTTTGAAGATATTCCAGGATAACCAAACCCACATATTCCGTTTGCAAAGTTCCAGAACTTCAACTATGGCAACGGGTGTTTTCGAGGCTTAAACAATCCCAGCCAGCTTAGAAATTCCTGGCAACGGGAATCAATATAAAACAATTTATTCCACAAATAGTCTGTAAACTAGCGCGATTTCGAGTTCCCCGATTTTTCAACCTTACATTTTGCATCAACCATGTCGCTGGTCTATATTACCCACCACGATGAGAATATCCTGGAGTGCGAGCAGGATTTTGTAAAAGCCAGTGGGCCCAAAGAGTCCTTTTATGTTTTTAGACATCGTAAGTTGCTTTAACTTAAAAAAAAAACAAATTTCTTAATTTATTTATTTTCTAGCTATTGTGGAGAAGGCTGCCAGGTATGCCAGGGGAGTCCGCGATCGCCTCAACATCGAGGACAAGAAGCTGTCGATGATCGTGCAGAAAGATGGCACTCGCGTCCTCACCGAAGCCAAGAAGTCCCTCCATCGAACCATGGGCTGTGCCCATACTCCCATCGATCCGCCGTGCGCCTATTTGCGGAAAAACCAGGGCATCAAGTGGCGGCGCGAACGAGATCATGTCTGTCCCAAGACCGAGGGCATGCCGCCGCTGCCACGTCCTGGCAGTTGTCACAAGAAGGGCATGACTGCGAATTTTATTAAACGCAACCGTGAGTGCGCGGGTCAGACGATTCCTTGTCCACCGCCGCCACGTGTAGTAGACACTCCCGTAGGTACGCGACAGAATCTGATGAACTCGGGTTTGGTGCCTCAGTTTATTTGTCGCAAGGATTTCGGCAAGGTGCCGGTCTATCTGAAGAAAACCAAAAAGTTGCTGGCCGAAATGAATGCGATCTGTGCCAAGGAGCAGCAGCGTCTTCTGGAACTGTGTCGCGGCATCAAGGGATACACCAGGGCTGCAGGTGTTACAGCAGCGGCGGCTGCTGCAGCTGGTCCACCAGAAATGCCGGGAATGCGAGTGATGGACCAGGCCGAGCGCAACGAGATTCTGGAGGGACTTCGAATGAGTTTGACAGAGATGACCAAGCAGTATCAATCCATGTCGCTGTTAATCGATAATATTGCCAAGCGGCAGCGCAAGAGTAAGCTGGAGCACGATCTGCGTCAGGTGGAGCAGGATATCCTGCTGATCGAGACTACGCCCATTATTTATGTTTCCCAGTATTAGCTGCACCTCATTATCTTTTACTTTCTCTCTCCGTTTTGGGGACTATGTCCAATATTGATCCCAAAAAATATGTATGCCTTGGTTTAAGGTTGAAAATAAATTTTACGTTGATGCAGCTAAAAGCTCCTGGGTATAGCTTCCATGACAGAAGGGGCACACCAGCTGGGTCAGGTTGGGGTCGAACAGCTGCTTTAGATCCTGGAGCTCCATTAGAACCTGCCGACTACACAGACTGCAGTATCGATTCTCTAAGCTGGGCTCGATCTATGGAAGAGGAATGTTAGTAAACGTGGTTTAATTTTAAAAAATATATCTCATTACCTCCACATAAGATATGGAACACAACAGAGCTGCCTGCTGCCCTTCAGGATCTTTAATACTGATGTTGGCAAACCCTTTCCGCAGCTCCTGAAAGTGTCTCTCCATTTGGTGTAGAAAATGATTTGTGGTGTTCTTGAGAGGATGCTCCTCTCCCGTTAAGTCTTTTTGGAGGCCACTACATAGGCGCTGGGCCTCCTCCAGCATGCAGTTCACAGCCTGCTCCTGAAACTCTGATAGCTTATCCAGGGAACTTAGGTACTGGAGCCTAAGTCTTATGTGTGTGGTGGCCAACATGGCAAGGAGCAGTTGCAGTTCGTCCTGCGTTGGTTTGATGAGCGTGGAAAGGTGCAAGTAGGCCAGTTGGAGTTCGTTTAACGTTGTCAGGACATGGTATTTGAGTTGCAGTTTATGTAGCTGGTCTTCCGTGGCCGGTTCCCCAAAATTAAAGGCATCTAGCGGACTAAAGTTTGAGTATTTCTGTAAATCCTTCTGAGAAAATATCTTGATGCGAAGTTCGGCAAGGTAATCCAGACAGCCATTGATAGGTTGGTCAGAGTTCAGGCTATCAGAGAGCCGAGCCAGGACATCATGCTCCTTGATTTGGCCCACTTGAACGTACACCATATTTTTTTCGGTTTTCTTTGCATTTATGTACTCCTTCACGGGGTAGAGGAGCAGCGTCAAAAGATTTTTGTTTCTGCTAGTGGAGAGTCCCACCACCTGGAAGTCATTATTCATATCTTCCACTGCCACGGGCTGCATCTTAAAGTGGCTCTGACTACCCTGGTGAATTACTTGAATGAGTTTCAGTTCCTGACTTGCCGTTCCCACTGCATAACTACGGTAGTCCAGGCTACACAACGCTGTAATTTTTATTCCGCCGACATGTAAACGGGCTTCTAGGCAGTCCTCTCCTTGAATGAACCAGGTCAGCAAATGTGCTGCTTTGCAGCAGGTTATATAATAACAGTTCCCTTCCAAGCTTCTAGTAATTGTACCCACTTGCAGACCCATACGATCCGTTCTCTGCCATAGAGCCTTGACCAGGGTCAGTCCATGATTGGGGCCTTCGGTGAAGCGGTACAGATGCACCCTTCCCATGACATCGCCTACAAGCAGGAGATTTTCGAAAGTATGCAGAAAGCAAATACGATCCAAGGTGGTGTCTTGATGGATGTGATCTTGTAGCGTTTGACCATCAGGCGAGAGCTTAAGGATCCACAGGCTTCCATTGGCGGTTCCCAGAACCAAAGCATGGTTCTCCACGTCCTTTGATTCCTCACCAAGCCAAGCAAATATTGTGATCCAGGCTTGGTCCATCATGGCTTTGTATTGGCTAAAATTTTTTATCTTGTCTGCTTCGAAACGCGGCAAGAGCTTATCCCTTAAAGTGATGGGAACATTGAGACTTTCGAAGCGACACCATAGCGTGCATTCCAATGATTTAGTCAGCAGTGTAAGCGCTCCATGAGAGTTGAGGACGGCCAGGAGGTAGTTTCCATTCGGCAATAGATGCGGCGCTTTTTTTACAGCCTTCAATACGACTGGTGGGATGGTCGAAGAGCAAACCGCCGTATAGACCGTTTCCAGAGCCAACTCTTGGGCATCTAGGATCTGACAATCGGTGTATATCTTTTCCAGATCGACCTTCTCGGCTAGGGCATCCAGTGGTCGCGGCTCCGAGGCCGACAATTCTATGAACGACGGTGTGTAGGGAAAGGGATTAAGGGGCTGGGCTTGGGAGGTCATTTCCAAAGTGACCACATCCATCTTGGAGCCCAACAGGGCTATGAAACCTTCATCCCATTGGCTGGCCACAAAATCCAACACGCAATCCTGTACAACATCTCCCTTGGCGAGGCACTGGAACTTGAGGGCCTCATCTGGAAAGGTAGCGAGAAATATGTTAAAGATAACGCGTACAAGGCGAGCAAAACAAAACCAAAACACTCACTACACGTGGACTTTATATACTTTTCATGTACATATATACCAGTATGACCTAAACACTCACATTTCTCGAAATCTTGTCCATCGCTTGAAGCGTTTTCAGAACCTTTCGTCATTTCGTGGAGTAAAGTTCGGGAAATCTGTAATCCGGCAGAAAAATGGCCGCCAAAAAAGCTGGCACGGAGCTTGTAAAAAGTATTGCTGAATTCTCAGGCAATTCCAAAGGATTTGACCGGATTATGAAAATGGTAAAATTATAAAAACAATTTGTAAAATTAATGGGACGCGCCGTTGTTTGCAATTCCCATATGGCCGATTGAACATACATTCGATATTATGTAACCATTACCATCGATAAGTGCGCGCGGTTTTAAAACTACCATCCCTCGCCGAGGACTTGCAGTTTTCGTTGAATCTTAAAAAAATCATAATTAACTATGTTTTTTTTATATATTCCCTATATTTTAGATCAAAATCACGGCCGGTGGTGATGGGCGTGCTGTAGGAGAATTCACTGTAGCGCCGGAGCATTTGAATCTTGCGGGGACCCTCCATGGAGGTCTGACAGCTTCAATCGTGGATAATGTCACCACCTTCGCTTTAATGTCCAAAGGGGCCCACCCTGGAGTTACAGCCAACCTAAATGTTAGCTACATGGCACCCGCAAGGGTGGGAGATCTGGTGGAGATCGAGGCTACCACCATTCGAGCTGGAAAGACCATGGCCTATTTGGATTGTGTATTGAGGCTTAAGGAAGGTGGAAAAATAGTCGCCAAAGGTGGCCAAACCAAGTTCATTGGCTTTGCCAAGGAATGAGCAAAATTATTAAGTCATTTCTCGAACAAATAATCCAATTTTTTGTTTCAGAAATCCTAATAAAAAAGAATGTCTCTTGAAAAAAGATTATAAAAAATCCAGAGGCTCATAATTTCTTAAAGCTATTGTAATAAAAGCATATATTTCATATATATTTCATTATTTATTGTGGCCAAATTATATTATTTTATTTTATTACATTATTACAGCAGTTCGATAAAAAAAGCTTGAAGCGATAATTTTAAAAATCGTTACTAGATTATCCCCTTAGTAAGCGTACATATGTTATCTATCGAGTTTCAGTTTATACGTATACGGCGAGCAAAACAAAACACGAAAAACTAAAAGTTGGGGCTCTCAAACACTCGTATCAGCCCCAACACCCTTGCATTTCTGAAAATCTTCAACGCCGCTGCCTGTGACGTTCTGCTCATTGCTGTTCTTCACTTCGTCGGGAAAAGTTTAAAGCAGAATGTCGGGAAAAACTAAAGGCTTTGATTTTATAGTTAAAATTTCAGACCATTGTCGCAATTCCAATGGTTTTGACCGTGTTTTAAGAATGGTAAAGCTACATGAAAATCATTACAAAAGAAAAGCTAAATGACAAGCGATTGGAATCAGCTGTCTTTCGATATTACATAACAAATTGTCGATAAATGAGCGCGGCTTTGAAATTGTTTTTTGTTTAGATGGAACTTTTCAAGTCTGTAATAAATTTTCCTAAAATTTTGTACATTTTTCAGATCAAAATGGTGGATGGTGGCAATGGTCGTGCTGTGGGAGAGTTTACTGTTTGTCCAGAGCACTGTAATCGTCAGGGAACCTTGCACGGAGGTCTCATATCCACAATTTTAGACAACGTAACCACCTACGCAATGATGTCCAAAGGAAGCCATCCCGGCGTAACCGCCAATCTCAGTGTTAGCTTTCTAGCGCCGGCGAAGCTTGGAGAGGTTGTCCAGATCGAAGCAAATACTGTTCGAGCGGGAAAGAAAATGGCCTATCTGGATTGTGTCTTCAAGCTAAAGTCGGATGGAAGAATACTTGCCAAAGGTGGACAGGTGAAATATATTCAGTTTGATGATGAAAAAATAAATTATAAGAAGTTCTAAATAAAATATAAATATTTAAATAAAGGCGCCGATTACGATCAATCGAAATCGACTATCGAATTTTAAACAGCTGATTTGTGTTTTGTTTTGGTTGGCAATTTGCATCAAAATTAATATTTAGGTTTGCCGGAATACCGGAATTTCTTCCGCATTCTTTGGAATTTCGTCGAATGCGGCAATTATTGTTTACTGAAAACTAACTCAAAGTGAGTTGTTTTCTTAACCAGCACACGGAAGAGGGCACTTGAAAAGATAGACTTCGGAGAAACGCTGTGTAAAAATCAAAGCAAACCACACATTTTTATTAATGTAACCTTTCTGTCACATTAATTACTATCAGAAGTACTTAAGATCAAGTGCAAAGCCTTACAGATAACCCTATCTAGCCATCTATGTATCTGTATCTGTACTTGCAGTTGTATCTCCTATGTGCTCACTTCCAAACCAAATGTTTATATTTTTTAGGCAGTATCTTTTGGATTGTCTAGGTTTTAACACCGGGTCGGAGCAGCACGAAAAATGGGCACCCGCAAGAAGGGCGTGGAATTCGTAAAACATATTACTGAAATCATTCAAAAGTCCAAAGGCTTTGAGAATCATTTGGAAAAGGTTAGAATGAACCTACGATTGATTTCATAATTGTCTTAGTAGATGTATCTTTCCAGGTTAAGATTCTTGATGGTGGCGATGGAGTCTGTCGAGCCGAGTTGAAGGTGGATCAAGACCATGTAAACATGTATAAGTTCTTACATGGCGGTTACATAGTAACTCTCGTGGACATGATTACCACCTACGCGCTGATGTCCAAGCCCTGTCATCCTGGTGTTTCGGTAGACCTCAGTGTAAACTTTCTGAATGGCGCCAAGCTGGGCGATGATGTGATCATAGAGGCGAGCTTGTCGAAGGTGGGAAAGTACCTGGCCTTCATTGACTGCACCCTAAAGCACAAAAATGACGACAGGGTGGTGGCCCATGGTACCCACTTGAAGTATGTAAAATTTGACTAGGAATAGTGCTGTCAGGCTTGGTTTCAAGGGGATTGTGTTGCCAGAAACAATAATATAGACTCACCATCAGTTTTTGAATATTAATGTGCTTTATTTTATTACATGTGTAGCAGTACATTGTTAGTTAATTTTCAATTAAACTTGATCTTAACGCGATGGCCGCTGGGTGTTAAATTTTATTTCGTGATTCTTGGGCTTTCGATTAGAGTGAGTGTGGCTACTACGGATAAACGTGTACGTCGATATGCGTAATTCTTTGGCTGTGGGTGATTCATTTGACATGCGGGCAGTGTGGGCAGCAGGCCTCCGGAGGCGTTAATGGCTCCACTCCCGGCGGGCAGCTAACATCCCCGCACCGTTCCCGCAGACAGTTCACCTGCCCGTGGTAGCAGTTGCACTTGGTGCAGACGTCCGGAGACCACACCTCGTTGTTCAGCCGTGTGGTGCCTTTGTCGTCGACGCAGTGGCTTCGTCTTTGCTTTCCCTGGACAGGCACGGTAACCGGAGCAGCTGCCAGCTGGACCACCTGGGCCACGGGCTCGGAGTCCACCGAATTGCAGGACTCTTCCAGCTTGCGCAGTTTTTTGTGCAGCTTTTTCAGTTCCTTTTGGAAGCTGCCAATCAGCTCCTCCAGGCCACTCACTCGCTCCTCGTTCACGTCGTAGAGGGCCTCCAACGGACTGTCGTAGCTTTCGGCAGTGGGCACCTCATCATGCTCTTGTTTTCCTTCAAGATCCCTGCGCTTCCTCGAGCTTCTCTTTGTATAAGTCTGTGGAATGTAGGAGTCGAATATGGCCGGCTTGTCGTTGCAACGGCCGCACTCCTGCCACAGATACAGGTTTATTCCGGGGATGTCCTCGCACTTCTTGTAGCCACCCTGGTGCTTGGCTAGGATGAAGACGTTCTCGGTTACCTGGTCGAAGTTATCGCCCACATCGCACAGCACTCGGCCAAAGTTGGTCTGCTTGATCTGGACGAGCTGTTCCGGCGTAAAGACTCCCGGATTCTCGTAGTACAGTCGATCGCCGTCGCGCAGGCGCCGGAATTGCTCCACAAGCATGCACTGGAAAAGGGGACCGACCTTGCCGCCCTCCACTTGGTCCTCCAGAATGCCGCCCAGCCAAACATCCACGTTGTCTGGGTGTCCGTAGAGCTCCTTCATCTTTTGGCGGATTTCGGCATTACCGATTTCCCCAGCGAGGTCCTCAAAGTCCTGGGCCACGGTCAGGTTACACATCTTCCTGTAGACATTGTAGCCGGGCATGCCGTGGTCCCTGCCACGCTGGATATTAATGGCTGCCAGATCCAGGGCGACGGCGTGAGCCGTTTGGAAGAGTTTCTCCGTCAGCTCAGTGTTGAGGTTCTGATCCGGGGTCTTGAGCTTGGCCGGCACGGCCAGGAAGCCCCTCATCAGGGGATCGACGCCGCCCTCATAGGCCAGCCGCCAGGGGGCGAAGAAGGCCTTGTGCAGCGGCAGATGTCCTTGGGGAATGGGCTGGAAGGTCTCGTTCAGACGGTGCAGGATGGGATTGATGATGGTGTGACCGAAACGCAGGGCAGCCGTGGCGAACTCGTTGGCAATGCTCGGGTTGAGCTGCGGATTGTATCCCTTATTCTCCTCCATCATCTTCATGCCGCTCTCGCCGATGATGAGGGGTAGCCACTGCTTGAAGGTGATGTGCTGCATCTGGGCGCCAACTATCTTGCGGGCTTCCTGGTACAAAGTGTCGCCGTCCCAGTGGGGGTTTATCTGCTTCAGCTTTCTGGCCAGCCGATTGTGCTCTCTCATCCAGATGGTGTGCATGGCCAGGAGGCCCACTTGCTCGTTGACACGAATGTCTCCGGAGACGAAGCAGCTCATGGTGTTCTCGTCAAGATTCCGGCGACAGTCCATGCCGTCTTGCGGGGCGGCAAACGGCAGCATGTCCTTCTGGCGCGGGAAGTGGACGCCCACACGCAGTAGTCCCTCCTCGGAGGTAAGGTTCCTTAGCTCTTGGGCGAAGGGTTTGCTGTAGCCATAAACCTGGGAGGCATCCACGTAGGAAGTCAACTGATTTATCTGCTCGCGGTGCTGGACGCTGTCAAAGAAGAGCGAGGTCATGCCGGAGCCGCAAATGGCACTCGAACGGACCACGTCAATGCAGCGACGGTTTCGGACTCGAGGATCATTTGGAGGCACCTCGATGGGATAGCAGGGCGGGGCCATCTCGCAGCTCTTCTTGCAGTCGATACCGTCCCAGCTCTCCGAGCTGACTGAGGGAATGGCATGGTCCAGATCGTGGTCCAGGAACTGACCCCACTGCATCACCATGTGCGTTATCCTGGCGTCGGGCGTGATGTCCTTGGTTGCCACCAGTGAAGTGGACACCAATCGAGCACTGGGCTTGGCGTGGCCCGAGTAGAGCATCCCCTTGGTCCAGCCCACGGGCATGCTGAAGCCATTCTCGTAGATGGGAGGAGCCAATCGCCTAAAGGCCGTCAGGGAGGCGCCCCATGTGGGGTTCTGCAGATTGTTGCATGTTCCATCGATGCTACGGTACCGCGAATGGAAGCACATGTCCGTGCAGTTGGGCATCTCCCTGTGCTCCATGCAGCCAGAAAGCTCAGCCACCAAGTGCAGATGCTCCCGGGAAAGCAGGTCCCGGAACTCGTACTTCTCGCTCTCCATGGTGAGGTTGTCGCCACGCTGGACGTGCTTCCTGATGTTGACCAGGGTCCTCTCGTAAATCTCCGCCGCTCTGGCCAGCTGCCTGGCCTGTCCGGTGGGGAAGCGGAACACCCGGAGCAACTCTCCGTAGTTCGGTTGCACCCGGTCGGATCGGTTCGTGAAGAGCATGTCCAGGGTGTTGTTGATGGCCAGATCGATCTCCTTGGCAGCCTCGGCGAAGGCTATCCTCACATAACGATCTCCCGGAGCCAGGTCCACGTTGTTTCTGGAACGGAAAGTGGATCGAAATAAATATATGATAAAATAACTATATAACCCGTAAGGATGCCTTTAAAAATGATTAAAAATTCAATTAAATTCTATGTCCCAAAGTTTACTCCTGTTAGTTACCCAAAGTGCTGAAGCAATCAAGCTATTCCTGGGAATTTCCACATTTTAATTACCATAATGCCGGCGACTTTTGTGAGGGAGTCGCCAAAATGGCCACGCCACATCGTCTAATAAAAATGCCATAGACTCTATGGTGTCCCTTCTCCGCTTGACTCTCCTATGAAATTATTCTGCACTTTTTTTTTTATTATTTTTCCCCCGCCAAGTCAAGGAAAATCCGCGCTGCGCTTTTCCAACTCTGACTGCAGAAAGTTAAGGAGGAGGTCCTGCGCGGTGGGTGGTTGGTTGGAGGCGGCATTAACAACAATTCATGCCTGGCATTCTCCACTGGCTGTTCAAGGAATGCTCCTCCTTGGCTCCCTGTGGAAACTTCGACTGTGTAAACTTTGGCATTGTGCTCCGCAGGCCTCTTGGAGGCGGAGGCGGAGGCGACGTTGTAGGTAATAACTTAACGACCGTAATACACCCTGTTGCACCGCCAGCGCCAGTGCCAACGCCAGTGCCAAAAGTCCGCCACTATCAGTTGCCAGTTGCCAGTCCGGGTCCACCACCTTTTCCGGAACTCCAGCCAGCCAGTGGATAGTGGGTTACGGACTACATATTTCGACGCTGGCATTCTGCGGCTCCTTTTTGTGCAACGTGGCGGGGTGTTTGTTGTTCTACAGTTGACAATTGCCGAGGGTATTTCGAGTCTGTTTATTTTTGAGATTTATGTAATCTGTATAACTATAGAGTTTTGCTTAATAGGTCTATAAGTCAAGTATTTCTAGAGGAATAATGAACCTAGTTTCTTTAAAAAACTAACACAATTGTTAAGACAATTTTTCAGCTAATATTCTATACTTCCTTCGAAGTATCCTTCTAGGTATCCTAGTTGCCTCAACTCCAGTTACTCCCTAATTTTGTTTAGTTTTTTCTTTTGGCTTCCTTGGTTCACTCTCACTCGCCCTGCCACATGCTGCGGCGTATGGCAATGTATTTCCGTGGTTGGCCTTTTCGCCAACAGCAACATCAAGCTAGTCCGCAGGATCTGAGTTCCAGGAGCGGGAGCAGTAACAGGATAAGCTTTTGTTTTACGCCAGCATTACCCACAACTTAGGCGGATTTCTGTGTGCTGCCTTTTGTTGTTTTTGTTTTTGTTTTTTTTTTGCAACAACGTTTGGTGGGTGAAATGGCTGGCTGGGTGGCTGGATGGTCGGGTGGATTGGCGGGGCTTTCAGCGGTTTTTGGGTCTGGTTTTTCCTTACATTTTGTGGCGCCAACCGGGCCCCACTCTTCCGGAGATCCTTGGGCGCCGCGCTGTCTTCCAACATAGTTTTTCACTTTTAGTGCTGCTTTCTCACACTCGCCGTACTTTTCTTCTTTATAATTTTTTCTCCGGCTCCGGCTCCGGCTCTGCCAGTCTCCGGGTGCTTTGCTGCGGTTTGGCGACTGAGGTTGGCAGCGTAATGAGTAAAGTTTCTAATGCTGCTGGCGCAAAACTGTAAGCCGATTCAGCTTCCGCCGTGCCACTAAATGGTGCGTACCCAGCCCCAGCACCCACTCACATGGATATACCAGGGTCCTTTGCTGCCTTTATCCTTCTGCATTATGCATCTGAAAATGGCTGTGTAAGCAGAAAGTAAGCCGCTGCCTGGCGGTTCTTTTGTGGGCCATCATTGGTCTTTGCCAGTCGGTTAATGGGCAGGACTTCCTGGCACCCTGCTGCCCCTGTCCGAGGACTCCCTGCATTTTTTTTTTACAGCTGCCTCAAATTGATTTACAGCCTGTGGCAGAGGCATGCAGGGAGCATTTGCTCAATAAATTCACGTCTTGTCCTTTTTTGTTGGAACAAACAATTCGAAAACTTCCACATCCTTCTCCAAAAAGAAGACCGAATGTTAAAGACTAAGATCGGGTCTATGTAGTGCACTTGGAGAAAAATAAATTGAAATTTATGAAATATTTTTTTCATAAATTTATTAGGTTTTTGAGAGTGTGGCTCTTCTGGTTCTTCGTTCTACAAGAAACTTGTCAACTCAATTTCAATTTGGGCAATTTGGATAACTTGTGCGGTTGCCTCGGAAAGGAATTTTCATGCCACCTCATGGCAATGAGCGTGTGTGTGTGTGCGAGTGTTGCACGTAGCTTTTCCGGGCTTAGCACGTTTTTCAGTTTGGCAACTGGCAACTGGCAACTAGCAACTGGAAACTAGCAACTAGCAACTGGCGACAACTTTTGTGCTTTCCCTGCCACCACCATCGCCTTTTGATGTTCGCCGCCTTGGTGCATATTTTATTTGCAGTTTAGCTGACAACACAGTGGATCTGATCCTGTCGGTGGGATTAGCAAGTTTTTCCAGCTGTTAACTGCTTTTGATAACAACCAGCCAGGCAGTCAGTCGGTCCCGGAGAAGCCAGTAAGTTTGATGTTTATGTCGGCCGGAGGGAATGATGTTTTTTCACTCAAATTTTCTTGGCTTTCCATCCACTGTGCATGGAGTCTAGCTGGCAGGTTTATTTTATGGTTTTATGTTCCTTTCAAAGCCCATTTTTGTGGCAGTGGTTTCCAAGCAATTTAGCTCTGTGGCGCCAACACAGGGATTAAAAAATCATTTGAGGGCGAGTTTTAAAGTTTCGAACAACAATTGTGGTGTCTCTTGAAAAACTTCATAGGCTTTTGGATTTAAATGCATTTTATTATTAGAGAATAGTAGTATTTAGGAAAATATACATTTTTCCACCTCCCACTGTATCGTTAAGTTTGTAGGATTTTCTTTTCTCTCCTGGAAAACTATTTTTCAATTAATTAAGCAAGTTTACCGCGCACTTAAACGCATTTTAAGTGCGTCCTCTGATTGCACTGCTCCTTTGATTTTTTCCAGCCACTTCCCTGCTCCGTCTCATCCCCGGCCTTTGAGTAAAAGTTTTCCCTTTTTGGATTTTAATGGAGTTTTATACAGTCCTGGATCCGATCCCCCCTGTCCTGCCTTACCGGCGGTGCAATTAAAGTTGCGGTCCTTGCTCAAAGTTGAGCTGTTTGATTTTGATTCGGATGCGGATTCTCAGTTACCTTTGTTCTCTTATATATACCCTTTCCCACTGGGTGGACGCACTCACCTGATGGTGACGAGGGCAGAGGCTGTGGCCCTGCCAAACTGATTCTTCAACTGGCACTCGTACCGTCCGCCATCCAGGATGGTCACATTCTTTACGAAGAGGCTTCCCGTGCCGCTAATTTGATATTTTTCCGTCAGTTGCACGTTCGGATCAATGAGTCGGCCATCGCGGCGCCACAAAATCTGAGGATACAGTGAAAAAAACCGAGTTTAGTTAAGAAAATTATATACAAGGTACGCTTTTATTCAATATCTGATATTATTTTCTCTGTGAGGTAAAGGAAAAGGACCTCAACAAGTGGCGGGCAAATAAAATGGAAAGTTTTTCCGGCTCAACTTTACCTGCAGTCCGTCCTCCGGCTGTTCGGCTTGGCATGGCAGCTCGATGGTGGTTCCTGTAATGGCCACCAAATTGCTCGGCTCAATGGCGACGCGCGGAGGCGTCTGGGATCGTTCCACCTTGATGGTTGCCTCGGCGCTCACCTCCCCGTTTTCATTTCGGGCCGTGCAGCGATAGACCCCTGAAAGAAAATGGGGATTCGAACGAGATGAAATGTAAACCCGTTTTGGGCAATCACTTTTATCCTACTTACCGGCGTGCTCCTGGCGGGCAGTGCTCACCACCAGCTCGGTGTTTTCGTTCTCCAGCAGGAGGTCGGTGCGGGCGCCGGGGATGAGGGGCTGGCCATTGAATTGCCAGTCGATGGTGGGCAGCGGATTGCCATCGGCGTCGCACTCCAGCACAAAGGCCTTGCCCAGTTTGATTGTTTGGTTTTGTGGTGGCATTAAAATTTCGGGCAGTTCTGGAGAAGGAAAAATAAATGAAAAAAAAAAGAAACCAAAAGGAAGAAATGCAACGGGTCGTATGAACGATTTTCTAGCAATTTTTGTGCTCCAAATGGCACCGCCAAACACTGCCTGTGGTTTTGCTTTCAGCAGGACTCGAGTCCTTTGTTTGCTTCTAACATACCCCCTAGCACCCCACAAAACACGCTCCCACGGGGCGTATGGGTAATATGCAATTCAAAATACTCTGCATACTTTCCGGCGGGCCCGCCATATTTATTTTACCCTGCTTATTTATATGCCTGTTTGTTTGTGTGTGTGTGTGTGTTTGCTTAAACGCGTGTTTGTCCATGTGGTAGTGTGTGTGCCAGGTTAATTATGCTGACCAAGCTCCACGCTTGACTGCTTAAATAGTTCATACGCCCCGTTGTCCCCACACTACTCAGCGGATAACCGCAGCTCCCTCTCCAGCTCTCTGGCTGGTAATAGTTTATAATTTTTGCACTTTATGTTGCACAAAATTTAACGCATAAATTTCGTACTTCATTTTCTGCCGACAACCACAAATTATAATGAGCCATTGTTGCATCAAGGCGTTGTTGCATCCACTTTCCCCTATCTCTCCGTCTGTCTGGAGTCCCCTGCCCCATGGGGGCAAACATAAAGCACATATATATGGCATCCTACCACCCAAGCTATATCCTTGTGCTTTCTATTGCGCAATAAAGTACAGTCACGTACAAACGCTTCAAATACAGCAATAATGAATGGAAAAACATAAAAAGCTCAAGTGCCGGTTTGCTTTTGGGATTAAACCCCTGTCGGGATGCACTTCTTGGCTCCTTGGCGTTTTTAATGAACATATCCTTAATGTTCGCCAATCCAAAACCCCAAGCCATTTATATTCTATGGCTATGTGCCGGCACTAAAAAAATTGTTTCTTAAATTGCATTTTTCAGGATGGAACTTTAAAGGAGTTCTTCTAAGTTGAGTGACTTATTTCAAAGTGATTCTGTGGCTCTGTTTCCTATTCGAACTTTTAAGCAATCACTGCCACCAGATGCTATCATAGTTGTCACAATCTACCTCCCACGGAAAGTATGGCAAGCTTCATCATCAAGTCCCAACGCCCCAAGCGGAGGGTGCAGGACATTCTGTCCCCAGCTCCATCCCCGTGTGGCCAGTGTGTCCTTTTCAGTCCCCAGCCTTCGGCTCGGTCCAGTTTCCAGACGAAAACAAATTAAATCGACTGCAAATTGAGTGAAACGCGACAGTTGTGACTCTCGGCTCGGTTGTGTGGCACTGGGATTGTGACAGGATCTCTGACAATCACTGAGGTCCTTTTAGCGGGGGAGTGATTTTCGAGGAAAGTGATTTTAAACCATATTTTTTTCTCTTGGGGAGAATTTTTAAAAGGGGTGTACATATGACTGATATTATCATAGATTTTATATTAAAATTCTACGCAAAACCCGGAATACACACTTCCTGGAGTACCCTCTCCAAATTGCATTCCCTTTCCGCTCCATTAACTCACCCTTCACCTCGATGCGGGCGGTGGCCTGGACATAACCCAGAGAATTGTGGGCCTCGCAGCGATACGTGCCGGCTGACAGCTGGGTGGGCTGGACGAGGACCAGGCTGCCGTTGGCCTGCAGCTGGAGATCGGGCCTGGACTGGGTCAGTTGGCGGCCGTTGACGAACCATTGTATGTCCGGCTGTGGGGAGCCGGAGGCGGCACAATCGAGCAGCACGTGTCCGGGTCCGTGAAGAGCCACAATTTGGTCGTGAGGCTGATGGGTAAATTTCGGTGGTGAGGGTGAGGTGACTGGCGAGGGTAACGAGGACGACGTGGGTGATGAGCCGGCAACCGCCCACACCTGGTTCTCTGATTCCTGCTCTCCTCCTCCTGCCCCAGCGTTATTACTGACCACCAAACGGACAGGTTGGGAATGCAGCTCGCCCATCTCGTTGCGGACTATGCACTGGTAGATGCCCATGTCTCTGGCGCTCACGCTCCGGATGAGCAGGCTCCCGCTGGCGAGGACTTCCGACCCGGTCTGGTCTTCTCCCAGTTCGTTGGTGTTGTGCATCCATGTGACCTGGGGACGTGGCAGGCCGGTTACTTCGCAGCTCAGCACTACCTCCTCACCACTCAAGGCCTGTATGTCCCGAGGAGGCACCAGAAATTGTGGTTTGGCTGTAAATGATATTCAAGAGGATTATAATTACAATATTAATCCTTAGATAATTTCTCAAAACTCTATGAATAAGAAGTCCCTTTCAGATCCCTACCACACTTGAAGTGCTGTTCGGAGAGGCTTCCAAAGCTCTGTTGCTGCAGGAGCTGGGGACTGGCACAAGTGAAGGTGATGTCCACCAGCTGACGCTGGACATCCAAGTGCCAGCGGCGCCACAACGAGTAGATGCCGCAGTTGCAATCGATGGCATTGCCATCCAAACGGAGTCGCTTCAGGCTGTGCAATCGGTTGAAAGCATCCACAGGCAGTTGGGTAAGCTTGTTCTTGAACAGCATCCTGCAGAAGAGACGAAAATCAGAACCTCCCTCACCCAAAAAAAAAAGGAGAAAGGAATCATCGTCAACTTACAGGCGATTCAGGCGCGGCAAGTTATCAAAGAGTCCCGAAGGCAGCTGCCAAATGTCATTGTTCTCCAGGGACCTGAAATGGTAAGCGGTGAGGCGGTAAGGCTATTGCTGGACGAGCTGGATCCTTAATTAAGGCGGGTTCACTTACAGCGCCTCGAGGCGTGGCAGTCGCTGGAAGATGGTGGCCGGTAAGCGGCTTAGCCGATTATTGTTCAGATAGAGGAACCTCAGGGCCGGGAGTCCGTTGAGGGCCCCATCCTGCAGGTAGGCCAGCTCGTTGTCGTTCAGGAACAGAGTCGTCAGCTGGGGGAGGCCGCTGAACGCGTTCGCCGGCAGCTCCTCGATGTGATTGAAACGCAAATCTCTGCAAAAATGTTGCCAAACGCAAAAACATGGACACAGTGAGTGAGTGAGTTTTGTGCAAAAGGAAAGAGCTGAATGGGGGAATCCGAGATAGCAGAACGTTTATCTGATGGATGGACGGATGGTTGTTCGATAGATGGGCTGCTGAAAATGGCTACACTGGATGAAAGTTGGAGTATTTTATCAAAGTCCTTTAAAAATAGTATTGTAGAGTATTGAACTAAAAACTCGAAGGACTAATAATTCTTTTGTTTCAGTGCACTGTATCTGCAACTTCAGAGCTCTGGCAGATGAGGGTAAATCAATTGTTGGTTCCGGCAAATTGCTGCAAGTTGCCAATGCCAATTCCCGTCATGCGGTCTACTGTACGTTGTCCTGTTGCTGCTCCTTCATCCTTTCACACCCGTACAGTCTCCACCTCATGGCTGGGTTAAAGCCCATGCAGCATTGTCATATGCAATTAGTGGCACAGAAAAGTCTGCAAGAGTTAACTCACATCCGGAATTCGAAGCTTAAAACAAAATCTAATTATTTTCTCTGGATAAACTCAGACTTATGGAATAGTATGGTGTATGTGGAGGAGGAACCCCTTTTGGATCGGCGGTGGCTTATCCGCCTCTTAGCACACTTGATAAGCCGTTCTAACGACATCCGCTTGATATGGCTTAGCGACAAACAACATGCTCGTTTTCACAAACATTTTGCACACATTAAAAATTAATTACAAAAAGTTGATGCTCGCATAGTTTACGGCGACAAAGCAGCCAAGCGATAAGCCATAAGCCGGCTACCCTGGCAACTCGGTACCCGCCCTCCCAAAAAGCAAAGCAAACTGTAAATATATATACGAGCCATATAGTGCCATAGAGAGTAGGGAGCTAAAGCCACCGGATTGAGGTCTTTTCGCATATGCAGAGCTCATGGGGCGCTGCCATTAGCAACCATGCAGTGAGAAAAAGGCATATTTATAGTTATAGTTTTAATAATATTCCTTCACTATATGATACCCGGTACTTCTAACATACATGGTACTTCATCAGACCTCTCAAAATGGACTATAAGATACCTGGTACTTTTATAGAGCTCTTTTAAGGACATTTTTACTATATGATAGCCACTTATATGATAACCTAGAAGCTCTAAGAATATTATATGATATCCAGTACTTACGAAGACCTCTTAAAATTGCTTATATGAGACCTGGTACTTCAGATCTCTTTTCAAAGACTACATGATAGCTAATACCTGCCCTGCATAAAAAACTTGTTAACAAAAATTAATAAGTTGACAAACCTCTTTTTTTGAGTGCAAAGGTTGCAGGCTGGAGTATTGGTGGCATTGAGTTAAGGATGTAGCTGCAACAGCGGTAAAAAAACTTTCTAATCAACTCGTGAACTTTGTAGCTATTTGCTGTTGTTGCTGCCGGCATTGCTGTTGGTCGGGCTAAGCTGGTTGCAAATTCAATGCGGCAGCGAAAAACTTTCTTCTTGGCCAAAGTGAAAATTATACCAAAAATTTTAGCCACTGCTGCTGGCTGGTTGCTTCTGCCTTCTGCTGCTCTGCCTTGTGGCAACATCGTTTACCGCTGCTGTCTTTGTTGCTGCGATAATTATGACCCCGTTTTTGCTCGTTTTGGGGTTTCCCCATATTTTTTTTTTTTCTGATTTTTGTTTTGGCTTCGTTGTGGCCAGTAGCAACTGGAATTGGAGCCCCCGACTGAAGTTGTCTAAACAGAAATTATGTTTTGTGGCTACTGTAAACATGCAACGCACAAAGTGCAACCAAACTAACTAACTACCAGCAGCGGTAGCGGCAGGGGCAACAGCAACTTGCAACTACAACAACTCGCAGCCCTAATTGGTGTCAGCATTCGCTCTGTCAGTGTGTGAGTTTTCAAATTGCAACTAAAGACGAGGATGCAACACAGGACGAGAAAGGCGAAAAACACACACACATTCCCACTTACAGAGGACCTCTTTCTACCTCAGGATAAGAGAAAACAAAAAAGGCAACATAAACAAGCAACTACAACGAAAACAACTTAAAAATCCAGAACAACACTAAAACCACTCACACGTAGAGCTTGAGGCCCCGGCACAATAATAACAAGAACCACAGGAGGTGGGTGGTTCGGTGGTTTGGTGGTCGGGTCGTTTGGGTGGTTGAGTGGGTCATGCATGCGCCCAAATGGAGCCACATAAACAAAGCAGCCACCTAGCCACCTCAGACCTGAGTTCGGTTTCTGTTACGGTCTTGGCTCTAGTCCTGGCTCTGGTCCTGGCGCTCGTCCTGGCTCTGGTTTTGGTTTTGGCCTGATGAAAGACCCAAGTCCCGAGGCCAGTCGACCCACTGCCATCCTTGTAACCCCTTCGATGGGATCTACACAGAGAATTAAGTTGTTTCCCTGATCAAATATTCATTAATCTGCCATCAGATTTTCATAAAAGGTTTTAATATTTTTGTTAAATAAATATGAGGATTTATTCGCCCCAGAACGTTAATTAATCCTTAAAGCTTCATTATTTAATGTATTATTTTTTCATATTTTAAAAGCATTTTTTTTAAAAGGTTATAGTGTCTCATATGAAATTCTAAATTCCATTCGAAAATTCTCTAAATTCCCAAGACGCTTTAAAAACCTTTTGCGAGTGCAGCAACTATAAGGTGGCAGCCACATGCACGTTGCGGTGCACGAAGGATGTGGGGCAGTCAGTGGCGGCCAGATGCCGGGTGGCAGCAACAATTTTGCAAAAGTTGCTCGCATTTCCCCCACAAGGAAGGAGGAATGTTGAAGGATGGGGCACGGGGATGGGGCACAGAGAAGGCCTTTGTGCGACGGCTGCGGCTGCTTGATCCACATTTTTGCCCACTTCTTGCAAACTCCATTAGCCCCGCCACCATCAGTCAACACGAGGAGGAACCACAGTGGGTCAAGTCGAGTGCCGGCAGATGGATCGGTCTAATTTGAATCAACATGGAACTCGGCTTCTTTTCAAACTTTGACTTGGAGGCGCCTCCCTCTATCTGTGTTGCTGTTTGCTATTTGCTCCGGGTGGTGTGAGTGGGTGGCTTCATGCACTTTAAAATTCCATGCCACTTTTCGAGTCACTTTCTGCATAACCACTGTGGCGCCACCACCCGTCCGGGTGACGTGTGACAAACGATGGTCCACTTCAATGTGCACACACATGGAGAGTGCGTGTCCGGGCAATGGGTTTCCGAGTTCTTGTCGAGCCTAGTTGGTCAGACACTGAGAGAATCGGGGGGGTACACCATCTGCCAAAGGCATGGTTGTGGGAATAGTGATACCGAATTCTTTTCAGTGCCTCCCGGGTGCGAGTGCCCTCTCAAGTGAGTCCATCCGCCATCTGCGGGGGGCGTCATGTCAGTTGCGCAACTATTTGCTCCAAAAAAAAGAATGCAGAGACACAAATAACTTGTCAGCTCCGGCATTCAATCGCAAGAACCACACCCGACCCCCCAGGTGCCACCTCTCAGCCTCCAGCCATCCCTCCCATTTTTGGCCACACCCTAAGACCACCTGACGGGATTCGCGTCATGTGTTGCCATGGCACTGTGATGGGAGGCGGAAATTGAATCTTGAAACTTCTTTTCAGCACTCTGACACTTCCGGCGGCGTGAATTTGATAATGACATTTGCATTTTCGCATTATTCGATATTTTCAATTAAATTTGCACAGCACAGCCGTGAGTTCCGTGCTATGTCCTGGCCGGGGACGTGCCCCAGCCTCCTGTGTCGGCCTCTGGATTTGATTCCTGGCTGTGCCCGGCTGTGTGCTTGGCCGTATCCATGTCTGCACTTAATTAATGCATATTATTGACAAAGGCTGCTCAACTCCGGCATGTTTGTCTATTCACGCATGCCTGCCCACGAGGGTGGACTTTGCCAGGACCTTGTCCCTTGGAAATTAGAAAACTTCAGGGCCAACAATCTGGAATTGTTTGTCTTTTACTTTTTATTTAAAAATCAAGTGGGAGGTTATTCGGTTTTTAATTAAACTGAACAAGTAGTCTTGAGTTGCCTAATAAAATATTATTTGAAGAGAGAATTGTGGCTTATGGTTATTTATTTGAATTATGAATAAATGGTACCTATTAAAAAACTTCCCCTAAGTACGCCCACGCTGCGTATGAGTAATTTTATTTCAGACCTTTTTGAATACTCTTGGAAATTATTATTTCCTATAAATGTTTATGTGGGAATTAAAAAAATAAATATATTGCAATTTGTAATTATCTTTAAATATTTTAAAAATTGATTTCTGGAGCATAAAATATTCGAGATTTAGATAGAAAAGATATCAGTTAAGTATCGCTCAGTATCGATAACCAAGAGATATGTAAATCGAGATTGGAAAGAAGGTAAGAAACAAATAGTAATTCAAATACTAAATGTATTTACTTAAATCCTAACAAAAACAAAGTTTTAAGAACAATAAACTCTTGGCAATTAAAAATATAAGGTCCACTCTATACACCGCAAACCCACACATCGCACATGCCATACGCAGTAATATTGCGTATACGCTTTGATGTCCGAATGACGAAAATTTATGGTCAGCCAAACTGGAGCCATGAGCGATATTTTAAAGCAGCCCAGCCAGCGCAGACAGAAAATTGAATGAAAACAATTAGCATTCTGTGGGACTTTCGGTTAACCCATTTGCACCACCCATTCGCCACCCCCCCTGCCTTAACCCTCGTAGGAGCATGAGGTGGAAAATATGCTGGGTGCTTGGCGAGCGTTAGTTAAGCTGTGTTTAGTGGCTTCACTAATTTGATTTCAATTAGTTGTCACAATTAGTGAAGGAAAAACCGCAGCAAGTAAATTAGTGAGGATTTGCTTAACAGGGGGTTAAGGGTGATGGGATTAAGAGGGGGTCGCTCGGAGAGTGGTGGTGTGTGGTGGAATTTTGGCAGTACAAGTTTGTGGTGTTCGCTTTGAGATTTCAGTCTGATTGCTTAAGACCGGAATGCGGT